ATGTATGAAGTTGGCTGCCGAGTGGCCTTTCAGCTTAAAGTTGGCAACCTAGCAGCATGGGGACATACTGACGGGAAGTAAGCGGCCAAGGGCTAGCGGTGTGATGTTGGCGGTCCAGGAGACTAAACATATAAAAACATATAAAAAACAAAAAACAACGACAACGACAACAGTTTAAACGGAATGAAGTCTCTATCCAGATTTCGCCATTTACAACAGAAAAAAAATCAAGACCAGATAGATAAAGTTTCTGATAATTATTTTTGTTACATTGTCGACTCAGCAACCCATTATGGAGCAGAATTTGAGTATTTATTCATTTGACTACTTGTTGTTTTCATTTGCTTAAGTTTAAATCATATTCCTACAAATTTGATTCATCTGTGAGTAAATCGAATTTCTTTACTTAAATATTTATTTATTCTTTTTTACTATGTTTATAATAAGTTGTAATATTCTAAAGCCAATGCCAGTACAGTTCATCTTAATTCGTTTAATTTAATATTAGATACCAATAAATTACTTTTTGTTTTAAACATGTGCTATTTCTACTTATTTAAAAGAAAGTGTTTCTCGAACTTGTTTCTTACAAATGTATTTCTGCAACTCTTATTCCCATTCGATTCACACTGAAAATAAATTTGTATGTAGAGGCTATAAGAATTGTTGTTATAGAGATTTATCCATATTCTAACTTTATGAAATTATCAACATTAAACAACATTAAGCAAAATAAAACTGACTCATTTCAATAAGAAGAACAGCAGAACAAATAAAAAACTAGAAACCACGTGATTAAAATTTGCTTTATTGTGTCCTAGCTAGGTACCAGACCTAAATTTTAGCGCAAAATCTTAGTGACGGGAGATAACTCATGTATCGCTTCGGTATTTTCCGTGAGCGGCGATTTAATCCAAGTTTATAGGTAGCAAACCACAGTCATGTAAGCCACAGCTTCGAATGGCCAGGGAGGATTTCTTAGATATAGTGAATATTCTGGATTTAACCTTTTACCCCATGAGCATATTGTGAAAAATGGCCGTTTTTATTGAAAAGCCTCCTGTTACAAGTTCAAACTGCTATGAAAAATGCTTCAATACTGATAAAACTTGGCATAAATGTTGACTGGACCATAACCTCTGTATCAGCATGCTCAGTCGTATATTTTCTGTTACCATGGCAACGTGGGGACGTTTCAAAATTGCGAAAAATCACTTTTTTGCATTGTTTTTTTCCCATCAAAACTGAATTCAAAGTGCTGCAACTTCTCAATGAATTAAGATAGAGTAAAAGGCTTTTCAGCGTCGGTTACTAGTTACCCTGAGATCGACCTGAGGCCATTTTTAGCCTGTCACATGTCCAAAATTTTCTTGGCGATGAGGGGGTCTACCGCCCCCTTCAACCCCCCCCCCCCAAACAGAAGGGGGCACATCCCCCTTCTGGCAACCCCCTGATGTACTATTTTGATGGGGGCTGCGTCGAAGAGTGGTCAATGTTTTAACAACATTTCTCAAATGAAAAACAGTGTTGGGGACCTAAATAGGGCATTTTTTCACTGTTTGAGGCCTCAGAAAGGAGAAGACAAAAAGCCGTCAAAACACGTCTATATAAGGGAAAATGTTAAATGACTGGTTGTCTTTAAAGTGCATTTTCAGCATGAAATTTGTTTTTGTGACATCTAATATGATCACTGGCAAATTCGAAAACATGACCAGAAATCACATGTTGTTGATTATAGATGTCAAGGCCGCCATTGTTTGTAAACATTGCTTTTAATCAGCATGCACGGTAAAAACAAGTCATTTTACAGGGGGGGTACAAACTTTTAGCTGTAGCAAAAAATCTACAAGGTTGAGCACCAATTTCTTTGAGATATTTTGTATTTATAGGGAGTTGCTAAAGCAGAGTCGGTGTTCCTTTAGCCTGTATATTTGCTGGTATTTTTGCCAGAGTGACGAAATGTGTTGTTTTGGGTCTCGGGCCACTGTAGATTTTGGGCTTCAACGGAATGAATTGCAACTTATTTGACTGCCTGCCTATTGCAGATTGGATGATTTCTTTGTAGATTTGCAATCTTATGTCATATATGTTCTCAACAAAATGTGTTTTCTTTTTCCAGGTTGTGTAGTTTGGTATCAGAATTATTAGACGTATTGCTTGTAGGACATTGACGGCTCGAACTTGAAATTAACTGTGGAGTGCTATTTCAACGGTTGCACCGTCAGAAATTACGGACTGGTACGGAAATATTGGTTCCCGGCCAGATGTATAAATTTAGATTTCAAATGTAATTTCGTATTTGTGTTATTGCAGTTCGTATTCATCTAGGTGCATTCATATAGATTTTATTTCAGTGTTATGTAACACACTTTGTTTTCTTAAAATAAAGGACGTTAAAGATCATGAGTTAAAACTACATTATTCAAATTGAAAAGGAAGAAATATGCAACATAATATCTAACAAGAAGTAGAAACAATTGATCCTTACATTTTGCAGTATCAAAATACAAATGTTTAACTGTCAATTAAAAAGTAGCAATTAAACTTGTTTAAATCAATTTAAATTTATATTATTATAGATAAGAATTTGATGAATACGAACATAAATTAGATAAATAGAAATTAAAAGATAAACAGCGAATAAATACTCAAATTCTGCTCCATAGCCCATCGGCTTTGCAACCTAAACTTTTAAAGTAACAGAAATTTTGTATAATATTTGCTTCTTATAATTTACCTTTTTTCCTCGTATCTGCTAATTAAGAATGTCACGCTTGGTTTTTATCGATTCTGGGTCAATTATAAATCATGCTCGTACGTGACTACGAACGTTTTCGAAAATAAACCAACAACGTCCGATTTAAATATATTAGGGCAAACATGCTTTGAAATAATTTTAATTTTTATAATAAGATTAATTATGAAACCGGTCATGTATAAAAAAAACACTTTGAGAAAACTTTATGTTTTTTATCTTTTCAAATTGGAAAATACCATAAGATAGCGATTACGATAAAGGAAAAAATACCTTTTTTAAAGTTTATGAAAAACGTATGATTTTTTTTACATTTAACGCTTTGAATAATTCAAATGATAAGATTAAAGAGTAGACACATAATAAACGTTAATGTGAAATGTATAAATATAAAATATTCATTACATACCTGTAATCAAATGTTCGAACGAGACTTGTATGGTACCTAAAGTCGCACAATGATCAAATGTACAACTGTCCAGGAGCTAGTCTGCTTTATATTAAACATCCTTACATCACTTCCCATGAAAAAACCCATTATAAGAGTCTTCCTTTGAAAAGGCTAGTCAAAGTTTAATTGTCCCTATATGTAGTATAACATTTGAATAAACAGGAAATTTTATCTTTACAAATATCTCTTTTTCACATCGCTTTTTGTAGTAGTTAAGCTTTCCTTGTAAAACTTTTGTGATCCTCGTTGTTGTGTAATATGATATACTCTCTAGTCACGTGGGTGTAAATTTGTCTCTCTGATAACAGTTTGATAGAATGCTTAAACATGTAAACATATGCTCTAGTACTTAGAATTAAACTTATATATATTTAACAGTGTTATGGTTATAACTGACCATCGGTCATTCAGACAATAGTACACTCGGCACCCTTTGTTGTTTCCCATTTTTCGTTTTTGTTTATTTTGCGACAAGCTTGTCAAATCTTCACAAACAGTAGAAAACGTTTTTGTAATGAAATCAGTATACACATCTTTAAAGCTACCAGGTATGCAATTCATACAAAATCGTGAGTCTGAAACAAAAGCCTCAAATAAGGTCTGTAATAAGATTGCACTTAGGAGCGGTTCACGAAACTCTCTTTTAACGATTTTACTAAGAAATAGTCATAACATTATACTTAATACAAAATCCGAACAAAATCACAAGTCTCTTATTTATTCCGCGATCAGTCATCGTCGTATGCTTCAGTATTTGTTACAAGTATGTCTCACACATCTAACGTTACGCGGAAGACAAACTGGACTGACAGAGAGGTTTTCTTTGTTGCTGACCCATTAGAAGAAAAAGAGTGTTTGAAGCCCGAGAAAGAGTGGTATATAAACGTTGAATAAAAAGGATTTTTACAAGTATGAAATGTCATAAAAAATGAGATGAATATTTTTTTCATCTTTTTCATAGAGTACCAATATAGAATATTTCATAATGTTAAACTCATACGCTTCTTTTAAATTTCAAATGTTTTTAAGAAGTGCCTTACACATGGAAGATAAACCATTCTACATAAACATGAAGCTAAGGTAATGATATCTGTAGGAGAAGACAATTATTCTTACTTATTATCATACCATAAAAAAATAAGAAAAGTGTATGTCATTAACCCTTACTTACTACATTGAATATATCAAATTATGTTGTTCTTCTTTTAATCTTGGCAAAACCATTTACCGCTTTTAGGACAAATATCAAAATATGCTCAGATTGAAATACAAACAGTAAAGACCATGATCATACGGCCTAGATGATTTTTGTCTGCTTTAGTTGCGTGGGTCTACCGCCTCCGTGGTCGAGGGGTTAGAGTCGATGACTTCTAATCCAGTTACCTCTCTGGCGTGTGTTCGATCCATGGGAGATGCTTAGGTAGTTAAGCGCGGAGGAAGGTAGTCTTGTAGTGGTGTAACTCGTTAAGAAACTACCCGTCTATATGACTGAAATACTGTTGGGAAAAGGCGTTAAATGAAACAAACAAACAAACAAACAGTTGCGTGGGTAGAATCTGTTTCTGTCTGCAAGCTGAGTTAAAACAAGAATATATTTGAATCAGATGATGCGTTTAAATATGGCCCTTTTGAATAACATTATAATGTTTAATTATGTACTAACATTAAATTTTATATTGAATATTTTCTTTCTTTTTTGTATTGTAGAAGATATTGTGCTACACTTAAATATCACTTGCTTTTGTTATCTGATTTATTTTCAAACAGGCAGTACGCGAGGATGATGTACTTAGCTCTAGAGTGTATGCAGCATTTGATGTTATATTAGATTTTTATGGAATGAAGCTGTATAACGATATCAAAGGTATATTCAGAAGGAAGAGGAGTACTTATAAAGATAGATACTATTATTTGCAAAGGTAAGTTTTATAATTCATTTAATTTAAAAAAGCAACATAACAGCTGTATTGCAATATACTTTCAAATTACTTTCATAAGTTAGCAGAATTACAATTTACTTCTATTTACAATGACCTGCAAAGGTTATTTGTATTTCAATGTTCTTAACAATTATTTGCAAAGGTTAAATCTATTGCTAGTAAATAATTTAAATAACTTGCAAAGGTAGGAAGTATTACAATTTACTTTAAATTAATTACAATGACCTGCAAAGGTAATTTGTATTGAACTGTTCTTAACAATTATTTGCAAAGGTTAACTCGGGGACCATACGCCGCTTTTCATGGAATGGCACTACTCTGTCACGTTGAAGGTTCCATGATAACCGCCGTATGAACACATCTACGGATGTTTTTAAATTCAAAATTTCACCATGTCATGTGTAAATGTTGAATTTTGCTTAAGCCGGTGCTAGGGGGCGTGGACGGTAGTTTGCACTTTACAGTACCGTCCATGAACAGGCTCAATCAAACCGAGCCTGCAACATTTTCTATTATGTTGTGTTGGACTTTCTTTAGGGATTCTTATTTTCTCTATTCTATTGCTAGTAAGTAATTTAAATTACATACAAAATAGGCAGTATTGCTAGTAAAATGCTTTACATTTGCCTGCATAGGTAGGTTGTTTTACAATGTACTTTTCATTTATATGAGAAGGTGATTGTATTGCTAGTCAATGTGACAATTATATAAAACTTTACTTTTCAAATGAACCGTCTTGCTAGATATAAAAAACGAAGCCTTTTCCGTTTTATCATCTATATGACACCATTTTTATATTATATTTTAGTCACTGACTTTTTTGTTTTGTAGTAATCCTTCTGAAAACTATCGAAGAATCACACGAGTCCTTGTATCCATAGGTGAACTGGGATTGGAAAGATTTCAGGTACCTTGGATTGAGTTTCTCATTAAAGAAGGTATAGACAATGCACTTTTCCCAACTCTTGATGGAGAAAGCATTATGCACTGGATTACTGCTATAAAATACGAAGAGGAGAGGCAAGTGATGTTCAGAAAGTATCAGAAATTAGCTGGACACATGCCTCTTGTTAGTCCCATACAAACTAGAAATGTTGGAAATAGGTCTGATGTGTAACAGTAGAACAGTAAAACAAGTGCTCGTAATATTGCTACCTGGGACTACGCAGAAGCCGATGGTGATTTTTATATTACGTTCATTTAATAAGGGGATGCTGTGATGTAACAGTTTAGGAAACTAAATTGTAACCTTAGATCACTCATTTAAAACGAAAGACATTTAAGGCCTATGCAACAACTGTTAGAAACTGATGAATATGAGGGTCAGGTGGCGTGAACACCTTGTCAATTGTAGTTAACAAATTAAAGTATTAAACATTTTTTTCAAAGAAAATGTAACACTCGCCATGCTTGACCATGCATTATAATTTTTTGTAACACCAAATAATTTTTTTTCTATCATTTAAAGATCATGTATGTTGTAATTCAGATTGTATATATATATATTTTTATGCGTTTATTTAAGGTCACCGCCGGAAAGCCCATATGGGCGACAGTACACTCAAGTCGGGCCATCCTAGAGCGCCCCGCCGAGATTTTTTCGTCGATTTTTATTCCAGCTTTTATTTGTGGTAAATACCCCAGGTGCCCCTCCGGGCATTATTTCAGGCACGAGCGGGCACCTGGGTAGAACCACCGACCTTTGGTAAGCCAGCTGGATGGCTTCCTCACATGAAATATTTCGACCCGAGTGAGGATCAAACCTACAGCGGTCAGGGACCTGTGATCTCAAGTCAGCGACCTTAACCACTCGGCCACGGATTGTATACTACACAATTAGTGAAATTATACAATGTATATGTATATAATTATGCTTATAAAGCAATTTTCGAGAACCGAAGAATATGTAAAATATGTACTGCAAATATTTGTACATATTATATGTAATCATTAAAATATATGCATTCATTTCTTATTAAAAAATTTGACTTAGTCTTTATAGAAAATAATTTTTAATTACCTCCCTTTATTAATAGAAATGTTAAATTTGGTAATATTTTTTATAAATAATGCTTTTTGGAACTTACAAAATTGATAAATCTTAATTTGAGCATCATATTTATGATATAAAACAATAACAAAATTGTATTACAGGATCTTTAAATCGAAAAATAGATAAAGTTATTACAATTTTGAATTTCAAAAGTAGTTTTTTTTCCCACAAATATGTATAATTTATGTTATAGCCAAGATTGTGACATTGTTTTATGCTTTAATACAAACTCCTTTATTTTCACCATTTATTTTCTTAAATTGTAATTATCGATGATATGGTCTTGATATAGTATAGCTACTTCTATGTGTTAAACCGTAGTTAGATTGCTTCGTGTGAATAAACACATTGTACTGTGTGACTCTTGCTGTGTTTAGACAAAAAAATACTGGATTTAATATATAGTCTGATTTTATTGACCTGTCAATTATGCATACATTATAGAACTCATTTAAATATTCGATCCCACTTCGGTTTGGTCCGTGTAGTTTACGAGAATTAATGTAGTATATATTTGTCATGGATTGAAAGTCACGCCAGCTGAAAGTGAAGATTTTCGTTAATTCAAAATAGTACAGTCGGTTAAGAGAATGCCTAATAATTTAGAGGTCTGTGGTTCGATCCTTGCTGTTGCCATTGTTTTAGTACTCTCTTTATTTTTGCCGTATATTTTAATGGAACAGTTTGTAGTGTGTTTTACAGCATTGAAAAGATTTATTGATTTTAATCCGTTTTAATTTTAAACATGAATTCTTAAAACATGTTATAGACATAATAAAATTAAGTAAAACATATTAAAACGAAACGAACAACATAAAATAATCATATATATAGCTTCAATATTGTTGAATGTATTAATAAGAAGAAAAAACATGGACCTACGCGGTCTCGAACTTAAAACACGTGTTGCACTTAGATTATAAACTCGTGCTTTACCCTATTGCGCTATAACGCAGAGTGCACTTAGTTGAGAGATACAAATTAAATTAAATTCCATCGCACAGTGTACATCTCACGGAACTTACCGAAAATCTACCGAAGATTAATATACTGTGTGCATCGACCGTGTAATCAGTATGTAATTGACAGGTTAATAAAACCAAACAATACACATGTATAAGGTAAACTATCAAGATATATCTATCTTATGAAGTATATCATCAAAGTACAAACTAAATAATATTGTTTCCATGAAATAATGGCCGATTCTAAAAAGAATTTATCAAAGAATGTCTCTGTTGTCTTACACACGTGAATGTTATACTATAACTTAATAAAAAATTTGGGAGTTCTGTGGCCGAGTGGTTAAGGTCGTCAAACCACTTGCCCCTCACCGTTGTTCGTTCCAATCCCGACAAGGACTTTAGATTATTTCGTGTGAAGAAGATGTCCAGCTAGCTTACGGAATATCGGTCGTTCTACTCGGATGCCCGTTGGTGCCTGAAATAATGCACAGATGGGCTACTGAGGTCTTCCTTCACCAGTAAAGCTTGAAAGTCGCCATATGACCTTTACTGAGTTGGTGCGCCGTAATGCCCGACAAACAAAAATGAATAAAATGTTCCGGAACAAAATATTACATAAGCTGCTTTTTTTTGACGAAATAGAATAGTAAATATATTTCTTTCACTCATTTATTTTAGAAGTAGCTTTCGTTCAAATTGAAACATTAATTTTTGCGCAGGAAACATATTGCTTTATATCTTAAAAGAGCTACTAGAGCGGACTTTTGCTAAAACAGGATCAGCTCGATTGCTTAATGAGGATGACACATCCCAGCAAAATCTGTGAAGGCCAAAACCAATTCTTTATCAAGATACTCGTTTAATAACCATGTTATTATATGCCTACATGTATTTAAACTTCCTTTTTATACTAGTATAACACTATCGCTAGTTCAGACGTACAAAATAGTAAAGATTTGTCCTCACATCGGGTCGTGTTTTAGAATGTAAAATATGTATGCTCAAATTTGTAACAAAGTAACACATCATTACGGAGGCGTAATTGTTAAATTTTGCTAGTATAAGTAACATTGGTCTTGTGAAAGAGCGATAATTATCGCTTGAGAGACTAGCGAAATTTAAGACAAAATTTAGTACAAAATTTTGCCCTTTTGGGGCGATAATTATCGCGTGTTACTAGCGAAATATTGTTGACGAAATAGGATTCCGTATTACGCCTCTAAAAATATCATTCATATATTTTACTTGTACAACATGTCATTTTTGTGTCGCCTCGACGAGTAGTGGCGACATATAGGGAACACGTCATGTCTGTCTGTCTGTCTTTCAGTCTGTCCGTCACAAAACTTGTCCGGCTTGTAGTTTTTTTCCTGTGTTTCCCGCTACAGAGAAACTTGTCCGGACTACTCGTCAGAAACTACTGGTGCAATTTCATCTACACTTTACAGGAATGATCAGTACCAAATCTAGTTGTGCACGATATTGGCATTTTACGGTTCAGTGATTTGAGTCAGAGTTATGGCCCTTTTATGATTGTTGAATTTTTAAGTTTGTCCGGACTACTTCTCTTATACCACTGATGCAATTTCAATGAAACTTTAAATGATTGATCAGTAGCTTTAATACTTGCGCATGTTACACGGGTTTTCAGACTTGAATAAATAGGTGTCAATATACATGTAGTTTGTCCGGACTACTCCTCTTATACCACTAATGCAATTTCAATGAAACTGCACAGAATTGAACGCTAGCTGAAGTTCTTGCGCATATTGCACACGTTTTATCAGCTGAGTTATGGTCCTTGAATAAAAAACGCGTTTGGCCCTGTAAATGATTTTTGTGTCTCCTGCTACGTATACACATTATCTGCAATGATACGAGGCGACACATGTGATTACTGCTCGCTCTTGTTATTGAGATTTGTTTTCAATTTTGGAGGAAACTGAATCTCGGAGTTGTTAAATTAGATACTTCGTTTAAAAGATATAATCTTTTATCCCTTTACCGCATAAGTGAAAAATGGCTTTTTTCATTTAAAAGCCTCCTGTTTTAAGTTCAAACTGCTATGAAACTATGAAAAGTGCTTCAGTACTGATGAAACTTGGCACAAATGTTGACTGGACCATAGCCTTTGTAACAGCATGCTTTATCTTTACTTTTCTTTTACCATGGCAACGGGGGACGTCTCAAATTGCCAAAAAAAAAAACCCACTATTTTCCATTGTTTTTTTCCATCAAAACGGATTTCAAAGTGTAGCAACTTCTCAATGGATAGAGATAGAGTAAAAGTCTTTTCAGCGTTGGTTTACACTTTACCTTACGATCAACCTGAGGCCTGTCACATGTCAAAATGTTCTTGGCGTTGAGATGATAATTGATAATACTTTTATTAAAAATGATAAAAGAGAATATTTTAATGGGAACTCCTTCAAATTTGTAATGTCAAAAAGAAGAAAAATAAATATAAAAAAAAGTATTTTTTTTTTTAAAAAATCTATAAAATACTGAACTTCTTTTTATCTTGTGGTATAAAAATGGTCATAATATTATTTCAGTCGTTGGCTGAACCACTCGAGGCGGACATTCCTAATTCCTATTCTAACCGTAAAATATATCAGCTATTATTAAACACAATGTCATAATAATGTTTGACTTATTTGTTTCAACACACCGCTACTGTAAGAAATATTTTGCTCGTTGCGGTACTTTGTCTGACTTTTATTAAATATACAGTCTACCAGATTACTGGTCAATCAGTTCAACCAGATTAACATAAAGGGTCAAAAATACTATTCAGATCCACATACAAATTCAGCAAAAATGTTTATAAAGTTGTTAACATGTTTAAACCATTACGATTGCTGTGTTCATTTTATCATCAAAACAAATGTGCAGAAATCTTAATCATATACATGTACATAGGCCAGCCTTTTTATATATCTGACCTATTATGTTGTCAGGTTTATTTAAGAAAAGTTTTATAACAATGTTCAGCATTGTTCATGCTTCAATATATCATCCTTTACCTGGTCTGCATTTTGTTATTATTATTCTTATTTTTTTACTATTATCCTATCATTCTTATTTTTTATCTTATTAGGATAGAGAAATGTTTGACTTCTTTCACTATGTTTATGTTTGTTATATAAAATACGAATATGTAGTGTTAATGATTTAGCTATGAATTTTTGAATAATTCCAGTTAAAGGAAGTAAAAAATGCAGTTTTCCCAGTTTAAAATCAACACGATATCAAAATTTATCTTCATGCTTTCTTATGAGATACTAAAATATATCGGTAAGATATAACAATTGTTAGTCAAATCTTACTATGTTAAAGCATCATGCCTCCAGATTCATGCTTAATTTCATGACAATTATGAAAATGTATTTAAAAGAAAAATATTGCGAAATGGCCTAGGATAGTAATTTACACATTACCAACGCACTAAAAATCCTCGTAAATTACCAAAAAAGAGGTAAAAATATCCCTAAATACATTCTCTCACTTACTCACGCAGTAGAAATTTAAAAAATGATATCGTCTTAGTGAGATAAAGTCTATACTCACTGAAAAAAAAACAGTATTTTCCCATTTAAACTAAAGTACGTATGTACAAAATTAAGTTAGTCAGGCGCGGCCCGGCCGCGCGACCAATTTAATTTTGTTAATACATACTAATAAATTTTAACCAGCTTAGTGATTTAAATTATTTTTATAAACAGTCGACTTACTAGACTGATTAACAGTTTGCCGGTTTATCAAAGTTAATGTGTTACGATTCATTTGAAATACTTCAATCATATTGGACAAAAAATAATTCCAAACACTAAATGCTTTTTAATATTAAGATAAATTCGTTTAATAGTGATGATATAAAATCGTATGACACTGTTGGAAATATAACACTATAAGTTTCCCACAGAGAGGCTAAAAGTTTTCATGATGTTATATAATAAATGTATGCATAAACCTACCAACATAATGTGTCGCAGGGTATATAAATTGGAATCACGTCGCTTTGGTCCGTCCGTCCGTCTCCAGCGCTTCAGTTCTATAAATCCTTCATTTCCTGACAGATTTTCTTCAAACTTAACTCAAATATTAACCTCGACTATGCGATGTGCATAACCCATGTCTCTGCTGTGGTGGGTCAGGGATGAGTTAAGGCCTCAACAGACGGTAGGATTTAGATGTACAACACTATTTAGAGACAAGATATACAATTTTCAAAGCAATACAACACTTGCATGGATACCTTAATTCTGCATTGCAGGAATCATTCGAGGTTTCCCTAAAAATGTCCCTCCCAATTGATCCTTTACATACTTTACTCACTATTTTTTTCTCTTTTTCCATTTTTTTAAAACAATTTTTTGAATTTTTTTTAATATGTATCCTGACCGAGACTCTACCTGAGACCCTCGGAATACCGTACTGCGGCTCGACTGACTGAGCTATCCGGCCGCCTATAAACTACATTCCCTTACATCTAATATTAAGGTTTACGAATTCAAGAAATAGAAGCCTTCACACATTATGATTTGCTTGTACATCTTAGTTTTAATTGGTGTTGTACTTCAAAATCCTACTGTCCGTCGCTTTAAATTTCTATATATGATGATGTATGTATGGTTAGAAGGACTGGGGGGGGGGGGGGGGGCGTCCGTGACCAAGTGGTTAAGGTCGTTTATTTACTTTAAGGTGTTGGTGGGACGTTAAACCCAACAAAAAGGACAATGTACGTTACAAATCTAACATTACTCCATTACTTTTTTCACAATGAGACTGCATATGATTATCGTTTCGTTTATTAATTTTAAATACACATTTGATTCACTAGTGGTTATCTAGGGAACGGAGGAGCACCTGAGGTCTTCCTCCACCAGTAAAGCTGGAACGTTGCCATATGACTTAATATAATGTGTTGGTGCGACAAAAAAAAGAAGAAAAAAAAAGAAAAAAACAAATAGAAAGTGTATATCTCTAAATACATGATTCATGCGTTAATTTTAAGTCGTGCTCTCGACGGATTGTCGTGATAGCGTGTTATATACATTTTCCTGTTTACATAATTATTAGAAAAAAAATATACCTATATAAATGTAACAGATCGTGTTGTTTAACCTAAATCCTGATACTAGAAGGTCGATACGCTGATTTTATTGGTTCACCAATTAATTGTAAACATATTATTATGTCTCACACCAATTGTTACGCTCCAGTTATTTTAGTACCTTTTTAAACGACATATTTACTACGGAGATAACGCCATAAACGTTACGTTACGTCGGTTAAACTGGCTAGGACAGACTCGCGTTGATGACTCACTTCCAGTGAAATCAGTCAGTTTACGTCCCATTTAATAACACGAGTTATCAAATCATTTATCAACATAACAAAAATACCAACAATTGCACTCGTTTAACTAAAGTAAGTTTCTCATATTTGATTAATTTATCTATATAACTTTATGCTCTATGTGGTTAAATTTGAATCGAAATATTGTGTTATAGATGAACTCTGCTCATCTGTGGGTAAAATGTTTTGCAGAAATTTATTGAAATTTAGTATAGTAAATTCCTCCTAAATATGTCTAAATTGTATAAGACAATGTATAGATTATGTTTGAGAAGCTGCATTCCCTATTACTTGTCATATTTTAAAGTGGTCTATTCTTAAAAAAGAACCTATCAGTTTTCTTTCATCATACTTTGATAACCCGTAGTGAGTTATATATTTTATATTTTCAAAAAATGTGTATTCAAAAAATGTTTATTTAAATTTTCAAACAAGACTGCGTGTGTAGTAATTATCCAAATATCAAGTTTGAGCATGTTATAATATTATCTTAACTTAACATCGCTTAAACGGCAGGTGCTATGGGTTCGTGAGATGCGTTTATACCTTCCACTATCTAACAGAATCAACCAAAACGCCTTAGTAAAAAGATTGTTTTATTTTCGCCTCGAATGATCTTATTCTTAGTTATCTGATCACCCCTGCAAAATCGAAGTTTTCCTGATTTGTTCCAAACAACTTGAGCTATTTCGTATTGATGTGTCAATTTGCTTAATCATACATTTCTTTGGGACTTTTATAGAACAGTCACTAGAACAGTATTAACAATAACTTGTAACAGAGTTACCATGGTCCCCCGCGTAATGGACGTTATACATGAAGCACTAATTTGTACTATTTCAAAAGAATGTGGTATGGATCTTCAAAGTCTTGATCAATGCTAAATCAGCAAATTGAACAATAAATTCATTAAAGAAATAGAATAAGATAACTCCTTTGTATGCGACAGCAGAAATACATTTTTATACTTGTATACTTAACTGCATCATACCCTGTAACAGACCATGTTCGGCTTTGGCCTCCAAGTGTGCCCTTGACTTTTATGTTAGGGTTCCGGGTGTTGCGCAAGACTAATTATTATTGTGAAAACTTGAGCCTAGTAATGTTAAAATCCCTTGATCTATGAAAAAGTTATGGACCGGACACAAAATATACCCTACAGACTTTGTTAAGTTTTGACCTCCAAGTGCGACCTTGACATTGAAGTTGGGGGTCCGGATTTTGCTCATGACCCATCGTCTTTTTATTGGGAACATTTGTCTATCCATTGATCTATGAAAAAAAATTATGGACCGGACACACAATATACCTAATAATAGACCATGTTAAGCTTTGACCTCCAAGTGTGACCTTGACCTTGAGATAGGGATATGGCTATTATGCATGACACATCGTCTTATTATAAAAGGTTTTTCAAATTCCTTTTGATAAATGGCTTAGTTATCGACTGGACACGAAACTATGACAAATGGACGGACAGAGGTCATTTCTATACCTCTGTTTTGTCCGAAAACGCGGGGGGACAATTATTCAAAAAGGTCTATTTGACTGTAAAGCAGTTGATCCCAAGTTTTGTGTAAATTACCAAAAATATATAAATGACAAAACGATATTGAGCAGGACGTGAATATTATCACATAGCTATTTCAATATCAATCAGTGATCAAAGAAAAGTTTTTGTCGGCATAGATGCCAAATATTCCAGTGGCTATTTAAAGAAGGCATCCTTTTAAGCTATAACCTTTCATAGCAGAAGTTATTTCATTATTATCATTTTCTCCCATACAGATTACGAAAGAAACAAGCGTTTGCTTGTTTATACAAACTTGACATAATTTGAATTTGAAATCAGCCGAAAATGTACCACTAATTAGAAACAAAACACAGCACATCAAACGATTATAAACAAATTTCAAATAATTAAGTTATTATAATTGTATGACTTTTTTTGTATATTCATTAAACTTATGACATTGTATGTGACATTTTGAATGGTTGTCTACAAACGGAATTTGCATGAATGCGTACAATATGACCTTGTACACAATGTCACGTGATCATCATTAACAGAAAAGAGGGAAAAGTGGGAGAAGGAAGAAAATACCTAAATAAGCGATTGTGTAATGCAATAACCCTGGTCTGCATTCCTCCGGTCACTATGCAGGAAATAGCTATGGAATGTTTTTTATCCGTCCCGGAAAATTAGTTTGTTTTGTTTTGGCGCCAAAATACCGGGCGATGCAATTGCCTATCTTGAAGTGCGGGAGCATTAAACAGAATTTGGCCAGCTGACTGTCTATAGCACGGGAGTTTGAGGGTAATAAGTCAAGATTCCCCCTTTTTCTTGAGGATGGACGCGGGTGTTGCAAGTTAATTGTGCAAGATACCTTTTTAGAAGAAGCCAATCTAGCTATGGTTTGTAAGCTTCCCCTTTCATCTGTTTATAATCATTTATTCGAATAAGAGATTGATGATGACAATTGAGATACATGGGTCTTCTGTACACTTTTAACCTCGAAGCATAAAAGTTTTGCCAAGGAATTCTCATTATTAATTGTCCAAATCTTAATGCTCTGAATGAACACAGTTCGGTTCTTTTTGTCATACTCTCAACCCATTACCTGCAGAAACCGAAAGTGAAAGGCCTTTGATATCAGTATAGAGCCAGGTATGCCTACAGATTAGTGCAGTTTGACCATACCCTATAATTTTGATAACTCAACATTTTTTTCCAATATATATATTCCTTAAACATTGAGCTCAACGTAAGAAAAAATATCATAGTGATTCAGACGGTATGAAGTTCAATTGCTTGAGGGACATGCTTACACAATGTACGAGTATAGTGTCATTTTTTCCTAAAATTGATACCTTATTTGTACATAATTACTTATTTTACTCACCCTGAGTCATTCGGATATGATTAAACAAAGTATATATTCTAGTATTTTCTTATAAAACGTTATCAATCAATGATTTAATTAAATGCTATGACAAAAAGCCACATGACTTTACTGAGTCCGGTTTACGTAACTTAATTGTGTTTTGTGTTTTTTGTTTATACTTACGGGGGCCCCTATAAATGTCATTTATTACTGGAACTCCGCTTTAAATACTACCTGTTGTTTTTCGATCAATCAGAAATGCACGCGCGCGTGAAGTAGGCGTCATCATTTGTACTGTTTTATATCTTATATATATAATAACCAGCCATTGTCTTTAGAAGTAATTACGGGTCCGAAAAGAGGCAAGTGAGAAAATTGTCACCATGCAAAAGAAGCGGAATTATATTTATTTGATTAGTGTTTTATGGATATCAAATGCTTTGTCGCAGGCAGTAAATGATCCGAACAACCAAACAGGTATGAAATAAAATTTTCATAAAAAAAGAAAAAATAAGTAAATAAATAAAATGAATAAATAAACATATCAGAGTGGCTTTTTAACAAATTTATTGACAAATATTATAGTGGATACTTCTGTTCTTCGGAGAACAAACGGAAAATGATTTTATTTTACGTGATGAAATTTGGACATAAATAACTGATTACAACATTTTACGATTTTGCCGTGTTGGACTTTCTTTAGGGATTCTGTTTTTCTCTATTGTATTATATAGTTTACATTTTTGTTGAATTCGGCCTGTAACAAAATTAATTTTTGAAATCAACCTAACTTCCCCTTGCCAGATATAATTCCTTTAACACGCAGTTGCGCAAGCACTTCAATATTTTATATATTTTACGAAAGTTTTGCAACTGAAACTAACTCATCGTTCTATAAGAATCACAAATTTCTAAAATAATTAACATCTCTTTTTATTTCAGAGCCCGTCGATTTCACAGTTGTGGACGATACAGCGTTGAACAGTGCGACAAAGTCTAAAGATGGTCTCCCAAAAAATGTTGATTTAAATTTAGATGTTTTAGGACGAACAGTGTCTCTTCATCTTAAAAGAAATCCAAAGGCAACAAGTGCCAAAAATGTTTATGTGATAAGAAAATCAGAATCTGGAATACCAGTTGTTATGCCGTATGGCCTTGGGGAAAATGAGGTAGGACTTTTGTCTATCGGTGCGCCAACATTTTTTATGTTTTTAGCACCGTTTATTATATAGTGTACTCAATTATATCAGAAACTACTCGATTGCTGGCTAAAACAATACTCATGTGAAATTTGCCACACATTGTCAAGGCAGTCAGATTTCTTAATGTCAAACTGTTACCAGATTTCCTGCAATCATAACATTTTGATAATTCTGTTAATTTTTATAATTCTAGATTCACTAGCGTTGTAACAAACTTTGCTTCTTTATTCACTGTTTTCATCACCACCTTATTTCACAATTTACCTTTTCATTACTAAACGGAAGTCGCTTACATTTGGTAAAAACTGGTCTAACTTTTTAAGAGAAATAAGCAAGATATCATTTTCATATCGAAACAAATTTATTTATGAGGTGTTAATTTGACTGATCAGAAAATTCATTTATGCAATTTAATGCAAGTTTAAATGATTAATCATTTTATAGGTAAATAATGTATATCAAAACTGAATGAAATTTTTGAAATTCTATTACAGGTGTTTGGAGAATATCAAGACCCTGCAAACTGCGCCATTTTTACTTTGTCATGTCCCAAAGACAATGTATCCAATAACACGGGCAACTGTGATACCACCATGGTAAGCATAGGCATTTGGTCATAAATATAAAATACAAAGAAATTGAAAAAAAGTCTTACTGAGCTCTGTACATGTACCTACTTTTAATCATATTTATGTTGTTATGAAAGCTTTCATTTATTTCACTCAATGTATTTATTTAATTTATTTCACTCAATGTATTTACGCGTATTTCATTTATTTCACTCATTTCTTTATTTCACACATTTGATTTAATTATTTAGCATAATATGAATACAGCCATATTCTTTTCCTTTTTTGTGCTCTATATTATATACATAAATTTACAAAATGATATTTTGTAGTTGAACCTGTCAGCAAACTTTGTCAGGTTCTCATGATGTGTAAAATTAAATATATGCAAACAAAAACTTAAAGTTAATATGAGTAATAAAGTTGTCAAGATTGTAACGAATGTCAAAAAGCCTTTTTATACGAATTTTATTTAAACGAATTTATTTTCGTTTAAATAAACGATTTTTTTTATTTCTATCATCGCAAGGGACGTTTTGCTCGTGAAACCAAGATTATAACATGTTTAAAATGCAAGAATCCGCATAAGAAATTGATATAAATAATAAAAATGTCAAGCTTGCAGCGAATGTAAAAATATTTTATACAAATGATATTTAAACGAATTTATTGATTTTTTTCCAACGGAAGGGACGTTTTGCCAAGAAAACCAAGATTTTAACATGCTTACTATGCAAGAATTGGCATAAGGAAGTTGATATGAGTAGTAAAGATGTCAAATTTGTGACGAATGTAAAAAAATAATATTTCTTTATACAAATTGTATTTAAACGAAATTATTTTCGTAAAAATAAACGAAATTATATATTTTTTCATAGGAAGGGACGTTTTGCTCCGGAAATCAAGAATATCGAATGTCTCCAATGCAAGACTCTGCATTAGGAAGAATAAAAAGACAGAGCCCCCAATAAGTTAGGGGGAGAGGGAAAAAACCTTTGAAAAAAGAAAACTCACACAGTAAAGTTATGGCTTTTACAAAACTGAACATTGCCGGGGACACTAGTGATAAAAAGAAGAAGGTTTAAAAAAATTTTGGACTTAAGGGATTTTTGAAATTAGGAAAATTTTTCACGGTTTTTAAAAAAAAAAATAAAAATGATTTTTAAGACAAAAAATGATTTACCAAGTTTTTTAATCCTTATGCGGTAAAAATTTTCGTTTTTATATGAAAAAATTTTTAATTTAATTGTCCTTAATTTTGCTTTACCCTTGCCGGGGAAAACCAAAAATTTTTAAATTTTAAAAATCCCATAGAGCCGGCCAGGGGCATGCCCTTGATGCAGTATGACCAGGTCTTGTACTGTTTATAGCTAAGTTATTGTATTTTGATATTAAAATCCTTTAAATTGTGAATTTACTGTTCCAGATTTAAAGCTGGACAAACCTATTGCACAAATTCACATGTTTAAGGTTAATTAAAGGTTAATTGTTAATCCGCTGTGCTCAGATTGTTATAATTGTAACATGGGGAAATACATTTCCAAAAAAACCCACTTCATTGAAAATGTCCTAATCAAAAATACGATTCACAAGGTGCCTGCTAATTAGTAGATAATTGTTTCCGTCAAACACGTGTCAAACACGTGTCACACCAGTAACGCTCATTGTTATTAATTAATACGTTTTATTTTCGTATGATACTTACGACTGACATATTAAAAAGTCAAAAGCGACAAGTGCTGACGTGCTTTGTTTAATAAGAATAGACCTATATATGCTATATATATGTAGGTTTGTTATTTGTCTTATTAGTTTGCGGTCATTTATGAAACAGAAGTTCAATGCCTGGACTATACATATAAATGTCATGTATATCAAAGTGGTCAATAATTACTTCTAGATACGTTTCACTCCCACTCCCCCACCAATAACAATTTATTGTGCACATCTTATCTGCCATGTACGTAGCAATGTTTACATGATAACAAACATATCATTTTGATAACATAAAGTAAATAAACTTTGTTTGATATTTCTTCTCAAACGCTGAGAACGTTAACTTCATCATTTTGTTTTCTTTTTGTCTGTCGGCCAATGGTCATTGCTTTATGTGTTCGATAATTTCTAACAAAACTTACTGTTATTTCACCTAATTGCATGAGCATGACAATTCGTGGTATTGTCAAAATGGGACATTTTCGTGGGATCTTATATCTATTAATTGTATGCTTGTGCAAAAATGTAAAATGCAAAAAATGCATTGCAAAAACAATCTTTCAGCAGGCAAAAAATAAATGTTCTGTATTCATAAATTTGGTAGATTGACCCTATCAACGAAAGCACCACGAAAACTAGACCTACGATAATAACGATTTGTTCATAATAATAATTATCGGAATTATACAACTAATTGTAATCACTGATACATTCACTTAACCCTTTACCTCATATATACGCGAAACAAGCACTTTCGACCCCCCTTTTTTAGGCCTCATAGTGAAAAATGTTCTATTTGGGCCCCAACACAAGTTTTTGTTTAGAAAGTTGCTAAAAAAATGAGCACTTTTTTCGGCGCCGCCACCCATCTAAAAGACTAACTTCAGGGGGTTGCCAGAAGGGGATGTGCCCTTAATGTTAGGAGGGGTTTGAGGGGGGGGGGCGGAGTGCTCATCGCCAAGAAATTTTGGACTTGTTTGGACTTGTGAGGGTGAAATGCCCCAGGTCGATCATAATGTAACGTCTAGTAACAACGCTGAAAAGCTTTGAATCTTATCTTAATCCCTTGAGCAAGTCATGCAGCACTTGAAATAATTTTGATGGAAAAAATCGAGGCATTTAGTGATTTTTGGCATTTTTGATATTCACTCGTTGCCATCTCGGTTAACAGGACATTTAAGACTTGAGCATGTCGTTACCAGGCATTGGTCCACGTCAATTTGTGCCAAGTTGATAGTATTGAAGCATTTTTCATGTTTCATAGCAGTTTGATTGTTTGTTAATATGAACATTTCAGTGAAAATGGCCATTTTTCACAATTGCTCATGGGGGAAAGGGTTAACGTTATTTTCAGAAATTGGTTACTTTTTCTTTTTTCAGCTCCATCGAACTTTGGATCAGGTTGCTGCATTTGGCAACAGCCAAAGTAATCCGAGACAAGTGTCGCTACAGCGGGAAAAGTATAACTAGAAATTCTCGCGGTCATCGATTACGGAATTTTCATTATTGAAAGCGTGAATTTATTTATAGAAAATTAATATGTAAATTTGGATACATAAATAGATTGAATTACATATAAAATAATGCTAAATTTGCAAGGCATCATAATCATATTTACACCATACTTTCTTTTTGACCATTGCCCATATTTCTTGGAAGACAAAGTAATTTGATTTAAAAAAAAAAAAAAAAAAAAAAAAAAAAAAAAAAAAAAAAAAAAAAAAAAAAAAAAAAAAAAAAAAATTACATTTAAATTACATTTATCATATACCAGTCTCTGGCAAGTTGACTAGAAAAAAAAACAACTTACATTTTTGTCATTTAATGCTGTAATTGAATCATTTTGAAGTTTTGAATGTTAATTAACTACATATTGTATTTTGATTTATTGTTAATTCGAATTCCTTGTGTTAAATAAGAAATACGATCCCTAAAGAAAGTAAACAACTGGCAAAAATTTTAAAATTTGCAGGGTGGTTTGTTTGGGCTGTTCATGGGGGGTATGGAAATGCAGTTACCGTCAAACCGCCCCACCGGTAAGCCCTTTTTTTAAACATTTCAGTTTTAAATTTTAATTTCATTCTAATAAGCATAATTATGTTTCATCAAATGTATTTGATAATTTTTAAGTTGCACATATTTAAAGATTTCTTAAAATTTCCCCTTAAAATTTATTTTGGATTTTAAGATTTTTTTTTTCTTCTAGATTTTCAAAGCGAGGGAAACAAAGGGACGAGGGGCCCAAAGAAACGAGGCTAAGTTAACCTGAAGAAATATTTCTCGCACTTTTAATGGGGGTTGCATGCTGTACCCGACGTAGATGTCCAGTTTCAGTTCGCGTTGCTTTCCGGGGTTATAAATTTCTGCTAGACAAAATAATTGAGCCGTGTCATGACAAAACCAACATAATGGTGTTTGCGACCAGCATGGATCCAGACCAGCCTGCGCATCCGCGCAGTCTGATCAGGATCCATGCTGTTCGCTATCAGTTTCTCTACTTGTAATAGGGCTTGTAAGCGAACAGCATGGATCCTGATCACACTGCCGCGGATGCGCAGGCTGGTCTGGATCCATGCTGGTCGCAAACCCATTATGTTGGTTTTGTCGTGACGCGGCTCATATGACAATCCAATAAAAGTCAGAAAATAACTGAGGAAGAGTGATTATACCGTCGGTTTATGGCCCGTCGGTTTTATCTTATTATCGCATAGATTTACATATCAGCTTCCTTTAACCTTTAACCTCCTGAATGTATGTAGTGGATTTGCCCAGTATTGAATTTGGAACAGACCATTGTATGTTTTAGGAGATTTAGATATATGTATCGAAATAAGAAAAGTAAACCCACCAAAAAAAACCAACAAAAAACAAACTATGCCAACAGAATAGAGTCTATGCAGACGGCAAGGAAGTGCATACTTGCCTCGCTCTATACTGGTGACATTTAAGGATTATCACTTCCGGTTCGAGCAGGTTAACTGATAAGAAATAAATTGCAACCATGGAAATTTAAATGTTATCATTCTGTATACTTCAATTAGAACTAATCTGAGGCTATATAAACGTTTTCATAAGGGCCTCATTGGCTTGGTCATATTGCAAACAATATCCGTTTGATCAAGCAAAAAAATAAAAAAATAAATGCTATAATAATATACTGAAATTTAAATATTCTATGACGCTAACATCCCTGGCATCAACTAGTCTGTATAAGGAACAGGCAGATTTTGATAAAAAGCATTTTATATTTCGAATTCTGACTATAACTATATAAAGGATTTCGGATTTGTTGGTTACCTTTTGAGGCATACTGACACTCTGGTGAAGGAATGCCTTAGGCACCCTGTCACGCTTAATTTTTTCCATGGACGCCAAGTTGCTGACGCTAAGAAAAAATGTAGGATTTGAACTACATTATGTTCTCATCAATTACCATACTGTTTTAATAAACAATATTTTAATAATTTCTTCAACAAAGTTCACATACATAATTTTCCCGACCGCAGGTTTCATTTATTAAATTAATTAAGCATATTTAATGATTTATTAAATTTTAGAGCCCGGATTGTATCACCGTGGACCACAACCACATCGATCATAGTCCCAGAGGGAAGACACGATTTTTGGTATCAAACGCCACTTGATGAACAATATTGCGATGGGTTTCTCAGCAGAAATCTGCCTGAAAATGACACACTTATGCTTTTACAGATATCGTTTTAGAGATGCTATGATATTTTAATTATTAGAAACTGTACATTCAGCTTTTATGACCCAGATCGTTTTGACCTTAATATATCTTTATACAAAGTGATGACAAATTTACTGTAACCCTTTCCGAGGTTTGATGTCTATTTTACGTAATGCTTACTGCCTTTTGAAGAGTTTTAAAGCTGCACGTCCCCAAAAAATTGTCCGATGTTTTTAAAAGAATTAAAAAAATATAATTTTATTGTAGTTAATTTAAAGCGACTGTATTTTTTGAAAATAACATTTTTTTCTAAAAAAAATCACCAAATTTAAAGGGGTTAAGGTAATTCCCCATTTTTTTTTTCACAAAATTTTTATTATATGGTAATTACGTTAAAATGAGCCAAAAAAATTTGAAACTTAACAAAAAATTTTTTTAAAAATTTTTCATAAGTGGAGGCCTGCCACTAAAAGCTTTTCCATGTATTTGTTGAAAACAAATCGATGACCACGGGCTTTGTGCATTTTTCCCCTAAAGTTACAAATCTTTTTTTTTTGCTGTCAAATTTTGGCACGGGTTTCATTCGACTTTTTTAACCCCCTTTTTGAGTGTAAAACTTCAAAAATTTTAAATTGGGTGCTGACAGTGTTTTTTTACTTTTTGTTTTTTAAACAGTTTTTTAGATTTTACGGTCCATGATTATTGTCCCCTTTGGAAGAAACCCTTTTTTAAAAATAAAAAGATATTAATTAACGTCATATTTGACTATACATAATGTCTTATTACTATTTTAGTTACGACCTGTACTCAATGGACAGCGGTAAAATTGACAAGCGAACGGCAGGTTAGTTTAAACTACCTTCAAAATACTTGTTTGTTTGATTACATTGTTACAGTAGTATATCTTCATTTTCCCAGAGGATAGTGATACTTGCAATAATATAAGATACAATGAATATCACGGTTACACAAAACAAAATATTAAATATGAAAGAAGAACTTTGCTTAACATCTTTTGATATAGATCGTCAAATGATATTAATATAGTTAGAAACTTTCCCCATCAAAAAGTTTATTATTTTGCCTTTTTTGTAGAAAGCCATTCTTTTGTCTGGTTCTTCTAATACTTTGGGTTATGTCGTATTTTTGACATTAAAGAATTTTTCAATTAACAGAATATATTATTGCGTAATTAAACATTGCATGCGACAATTAATTGCATACATTTGGTATAGTATAAAATACTGTTTCAACAAACCTTTAATTTAGAAAATGCACACACTAAATTCTAATGATTGTTTTAAATTTTGTTGTTGCTAGGATACGCACGTGTTGGTAGCGTTTGCAGTATGGACAGTGTGTCGGTCATTGAGGACCACGGTGGATTCCAGAGCATCAACGCTGCTGCCCACGAATTAGGTCACGGGTACGTGTCATTTTTTTTATTGCGCATGCGCATTTTATCATGCAAAGTTATGCGCATTTAAACATACAAAGAAATCATAATGTAGTTCTTAGCGTATGTTTCAAAAGATATTCCAATCGTTAAAAATTTAACAGCAACATGTGATTTGATGTTATGTGATTTGATTTTTCGCTTGATAGTTTTATCAAGTAAACTATGTAGATCTAATGTATATTATGCGGCATAATTTTCATTGCAAATTTTGAACCATGAAAGGTTAATTATGACATTTAAAACACAAAAAAACGTTCTTTAAACATGCTCAACACTTTACAAGATGTAAACATCTTGTTTTTTTCTTCTTCTTCATATTGCACAATGATTGATTAGGAGTCTGGCAATGCACGATTTACATTTCAAATTCATCGTTAAAATTATGATATGCATTTGATATCAACGTAAATTCATTGTCATTATAAATGTATACAAAGTTTTTTTGTCTTGAACAATTAACATTGAAAGTAAAAGGCGGATTTTAGACAGGACGCGGCTGTCACTGATCGCCGTTAGTTTGTATACAAAGTAGGTTCTTTATGTCATTTTGTTGACATAACTTTGTGTATATATAACAAAGGTGCTATTTGTTTTATCTCATATAGACTCGGTAGTAGGCATGACGGTAAAATGAACTCCTGTGATCCCAGAGATCAGTTTATAATGACAGCGCATGGTGGTTTTGAAACGGAGAAGACTAAGGGCAACCCCTGGAGATTTTCCAAATGTTCTGTAGCTTATTTCAAAGATTATATATCAAGATTGTAAGCTATTTTTACTGTTATTGTCTTCAAATTATTCAACCGACTTATAATAAGATATGCAATCATCATGTACACGCATACTCGATGAAATAAGGTGTTGAACACAAATACTAAAATATCAGAGGCTTATTACTTAACATATACTTAAAAAAACTAAAATTGCCTAAAACGTTTCATTTTGCGTTTCCGATTTTATTATTTGTGTAACATAGGCCTGTCTCCGGCCAAAAGTACAACAAAAAACATTAAACATGAAAATGCATTGAAATTACGATATTTATTAGACATAAGTAAAACAGTGAAAATTTTAAAATTTGTATTCAATTTTTTCTTTTTTATTATTCCATATAATTTCTTCTTTTACTAGTTTTTCTTCACATGATACACTTTTGCACTTATTGTTTTAAAAACGAGTTATCGTACATGTTTTTTGTTCTGTTACAGACGTCCACGTCACTGTCTTACTGACCCAGTTGATATATTCGACCGCGATGAGTATATCAAATTTATCTCCACTTACCCGGGTCAGGATTACTCACCAAATGAACAATGCCAGGATATTTTAGGACTTGATTCTTACTATGGATGGGTAGGTCTCTTTTTTACCGTATTTGTTTTATATGTTATATATCACACTAAATTTTACACTAAATTAAAATTTGTGGCATTTTAACAGTGATGCATGACATTTTAGTCTAATTTAATGCTTTAGCGCGTGTAATATATATCTTGTGTTAAACATAAAAAATGATGACGTTATTTATTTTTTGTAGCGTTGAATGCATATCTAATCGTTATAGGCCCATTATGCCTTAGACATGCTATAATTTTCATTTCTTAAACACTGTCGATCTTTGGTATCTTGTCACAGTTTCCAAAAATATTATACATAAACTCTAGTTTGCTTATTATGCATTGTTTTCAAATGGTATATTTAGTGAATTTGTATTTTGAGTAGAAGTCAAAATACTACTTTGTTAACATTTTGCTACCTTTACGACACATTTTTAAAACAATTCCAAACACATCTTTGGCATTTCTAAAGAATTACTAAATATGGATTTCTGAGGCATAATGCACATTGTGCCTTTCTATGATAATAAATGATAATGATAATAAAATAAATGATGATAATAATATAATAATAATAATAATAATAATAAAAATTTAATAATAATAATAATAATAATAATAATAATAATAATAATAATTTTAAATTTAGAGAAGGTAAGACAATAGGAAATAAACAATGTAAAAAATTAAATAGAGGATATTTTTTTTGTTTTGCATGTAAGATTGAAAAAATTAATTTAAACGGGAGTGAACACCAGATGCAATATTTTCACAAAGTGGCGTAGCCACGAGTGAAAATATTTAGCTGGTGTTCACGAATGAAATATATTTCAATCTTACATGTAAAACCAAAAAAATTTTCCTTTTATTTCATGCTTTTTAAGTGATTTTAAGTATTTTTTACTGATTTTTTCCGCGTAACGTCGCGGGATTTCTCCTTTGTGACATCATCGCATCATGACGTCACAATCACAATTTTTGAAAAATAGTTTTTGTTAAAATTTCCATTCAGATATAGTCCGGCTACAGTGAAAATTATATTTTATAAATTTCACTAGTGGTTTATCAGAATATAATCATCTGATATATTACAATAAAACACTGGAAAGCATGAAATAAAGACTATTATTTCTAAACTCAAAATAAATATGTACATTTGTTTTATTACATTTTAGGGCCCTGAACTTGGTAAATTTAGTGATATATGCACAGAAATGTCATGTAAGGTGCCGGGAGCCAGTCGATCATACAGAGTTTATAAGGCGGCTACGGGAACATCTTGCGGGGACAAAAAGGTAATAAACTTTAAACATGTTGTCTAAGAGTAATATCTGATTTTGCACATTTTATCGTACATGTTATGTTGTAAATTTATGACAATGTAAAATATCATTACGTATCTATATTTTGCCTCATTAAAGCGTTTCACTGTATATGAGGTTTATATATAATAAAAGAGGTAATGTTTATATATTTTTCTAACTTTCAGTGGTGCATGGAAGGACAGTGTGTGTTTGCTGAAAAAGCGCCACCTAAAGATCGTAAGTTTTAACGGTCATGTTAACGCGTACACGCTTTTCCTTTACAAACAAGTAGAAGAAGAAATAAGATATCATAGCAAACATAAGGTTGTAATGTACAAAGTGTGGCTTATTGTGTTGAATTCAAACAAACACAAACGTTTATAATGCAATAAACATATGCAAGAAATCAAAGAACAAAGCAAAGATATGTTTTATAAAAGAAGTAAATAGAAAGAAATAAAGAAACTAACTAAAGATTAAAAAAAGTAGAAATAGAAGAAAGAAAGAAAAAAGAAAGCAAAAAGAACAAATAACCGAAAAATAAGAATGTGAAAAGATGATAGAGAATAATAACTATAGGAAATGAAACTATTCTAATCATTATTCATAAGAACTTTTGTTACAAAAAATGTTGATATATCACACTTGTTGGTAAACTATTTTCACAATTACATTTTTCTCTTTTAGCTGCATGTGTGTTCGGAGATATACAGCGTCTGTTTGGTTCGAAGAAACAATCCTGCCGACAATATATGATAGATAACCCAATGAGATGTTACGATAAATTTTACAGCTCTCGATGCTGTGACACGTGCGAAAGACTAAACACCGGCGTTAGAGGTACCTATATATTGACAGTAAATAAATGTGTTATTTATATGAATTTTAGAAATTAAAATCAGTAGTATATAGGCAACGTTAACGATACACACACACGTTTGCCTCAATATTTCAATGACATTTGTATTGAATATTTTTTGTAAGACGTGATTTCTGTGTGCAATTCTTTCTTGTACATATTTGCAAACAAAAACTTTTAATTCTTAAAATAAGTAAAATCTGTCTTATATTGCTTTTAATCTTATAATAGAATGAATTTTTATTTCTTTTGTGCAGTATAAAATTCTTTTTTTTTAAAATTTTGTAATGTGTTTTTTTTCTATCTCAAAGGATGTGAATACGGCGATAAATTCTTAAACTGTCGAGCAAGCGGGTGTTTTGATACTAGTTACGCACGAGACTGTTGTAGCACGTGCGGACTGGCTCCTCATCCAGTGATTAAAGCACTCACTACAACCGCCCGACCTCCTGTTACCCGGAAACCATGGACCCCAAGACCGACAACGAGCAAACCATGGTCCCCGAGACCAGTACCAACAACACGACAACCATGGACCCCTAGACCAATACCAACTACAAGAAAGCCATGGACACCAAGACCCACTCCATCTAACAAGTGGACTCACGTTGTAAGTCAAACAATATTGCATATCTGAAGACAAAACGAAAACATGTTCCTTTAAAAATTTGTTTCTTGACTCATGCTTCATTTCTTTAAATCTGAAGTATTATATACAGTTGTAGACACTCAACGTGAAATATACCAACGTTAAACATTTGTCATGTTCTCATTTTCAGATGACTCATATGGACACCTGCAGAGGTTGTCATAAGAAAAACTCAAATTTACAAAATTAAGTCTGTTTAGAACTTACACCAGGCATGTGTCATATATTAGAGTGACGGTTTACCTTGATATATTAAAATTAATTTACACATCTGTATACTTATACTATATTTTACTATTCGATTTATGCATGCATGCATTTTCAACGTATCATCTTTAATAAATAGTACGTTTAGTAAATATTCACTTAAACCGTTGAAATGAGAACTTTAATTTCAAAATATTTCGAACATTTATATATGGATAGCTTTAAATTAGTGTGAAAGTTATTTATAGATTTGTTCAATTGATTTTAATAAACAATATAATATAAGAAATACTTTCCAGGCAATTCTTAGAATACAAACTATTTTTAACCGCCAATGAAAATGAATGGTTTAAAAAAGCCATTGAAAATGCAATTTATTTTTAACAACCAATAAAAACGAACTTTTTATTTACCGTTAAAGAAAATGAATAATTTTAACAGCCAATGAAATTAACTCTATTTTAAACAGCCAATGAAAATGAAATTCATTTTAACATGCAATAGAAATTGTTTTATTTTTTAACATCAACGCAATAAAATTTTGTTTCAATGGCCAATGAAATGAAGTTTACTTTTTTTACAGCCAATACCGACTAGACGTCCACCTCCAACCAGACGTACCACAACTCAAGCACCTACAGTCAAGCCATCTGGTAGTTCCGGTTTATGTATCAGTCCAGATAATCGATTTTTATTGGTCTTTAAGTGTTCATCATTGCCCAATTTGTTTGGTCAAAATGCATGTGACAATACGCTTGTAGCACGATATTGCTGTGAACGCTGCCCGGAACCCAAACAGCAAGGTTTGTATTATATTATGAGGATATGTCTGAATATTTCGCAATAATGAGCTTTTTTCAAATATCTTTGAATAAAACACCTAAGTGTAATTTATATACTTTTCACATTTATTTTATTGACCTTTAACAAAAGGTAATACTGACTTTAATTTAGTAAATAAGAAACTACAGACCTCTACAATTTCAGTAAGACTTCGTTTCTATAATAACTTTAAGATGACTTGTTACGGTCTGTGATTACTATATTGTTTAGGGTGGTCGAAAATTATTTGGACTCGTTTCTTTATACATTTATTTCTTCGATTATAATGAATCCTTCAATTATAATTATTTTTTTTATTTTATCTGCAGCAAATTCTGCTATACGTTAGCGATAAATTCAAGTTATGATTACTTCCGTAACTTCATGCAATATGCACAAAAAACAACCAAAAATAGTGTGCACGTTTGTATCAACGTGTTTCGATTTTTTCAGGTTGCGTTGACTCACCGAATTGCAAAGTTCAGTATTCAAGAGAGTGCTACACAGAGTCTAATAAAAAGGAGTGTTGTAAAACGTGCAAAAGATTTGAAACAAGTCGGAAAGGTAACATATTGTATTTAAATCATCTTCAGGCTTTTTTAAGTGTATGTTACTTATTGTCACGTGTCTGATCATATAAATAGTTACAAATGTGTATGAAAATGATATAAGATTCCCCCAAGATGTAAACCTATTAATATTTAAGATCTCTTTGTCATCGACCTCCTCTTCACAGACGGTGAAACCTTTGAGACATGATATGTCATATGTTGTGATTTGGTAAACAATGTATTGACGGGGCATTGCTACCAGTCAATCGATAACAAATCGAATCGCAAACACCAACTAATAGATGTTTGTGATATTTGATAAAGGGCTACATTTGTCACCAAGAACATTTACAATTGACAGAACCATATATGTAAACAAATATATGTCATGTAAAGCGTTTGTCAAGGGGATTTTTTTGCCTCGTTAAAGGGAACAAATATGCTTTCAAGTCACGTTTTATGCAAAATCAATTAGCCATGAGAATATTGTTTTTATAATGCGTTACTTACTTTTTTGTATAACGAGTTTTTTCTTCGATTATAGGATGCGAGTACGGCGATAAGATACGTTCATGTGAAAGGTACGTTGGGGAGCTCGGTATTTCATTGGTTTGTTCCCGGTACAAGGACTATTGCTGCGGAATATGTAACGCTCTTGCCACAAACCAGGAACCAGCGAGCGTAAACGATATCCACAAACCGGTCGATCCGTTCTCCGGAGCTGTTAAACAAATTCACCGTGCCGACCCAACGTTACGTGCTATTGCAGCAACCGGTAAAGCCCCAACCGGTAAAGCCCCGGATAAAAACGAAAAAGGCACAGCAAATACAAACACGAATGCTAATGCAAATAAAGATGCAGGGAATATAAATAAAGATAAAAATACGAATAATAATTTTACACCATTTGGTTTTGAACATCCAATGACAAATATTAACGGTTTTTCAATGAGGTCGCATTCGTTTCAAAGTGCTCCAGGTCACGTGGTGCATACTGTTATTTATAGACCAGTAAATCGGCGAGGTAGAGGGAGCATCTTCAGGCGGACACGACCTGCTCAAAGACAGCAGCTTCTTAGACGATTAAATTTTATGGTAAATCAGGGATGATTTTTAATGTAACAGTGTGTGTGTTTTTTGTATTTTTTTCCTTAATTTTGTAAATATATTTGTTAATTTAAAATTTCCATTTATTTCTACAAGTTGTTTATATGATTTCTTTTTCGAATTCAACGCATCTGTTTAAATCATCACGATCATCCAACACAAAATGTAAATATAAGTAAATGTTTAATAAAAATTGTATTGTTATGTCTCAACTATTTTTGATCGGTAATTGTTTTATCACACTAAGTATGAAATCTGTCATTATAAAACTTGTTTACGAAATAGGTTCATTGACGGCTGCTGAATAATTTATTCATGACTTCAATTTTATTACCCCGAAAAGATGACGTCTACTAGGTTAAATAGTGCAAATATAACACGACATTTTGCCAGATATGACTTGCAAATATTACATTGAAGTATGCTTTAAGAACCCTCTATGTCGAATCAAGATCAGTGGATAATTAAGAGCATCTCAACCGCTTTCAAAAATGTACAAATTAGTTTAAAGGAACCATACTGAGGTCCAAATGGCTTAAAGCATTAAAATTTCAAAAGCAAACAAACATCAATTGACGTTTAAAATGGACAGATGTGCAAAGGATAACAAAAGAAATATACTCTCAGAATTAAATTGGAAATCGTTTTTGTACACTTTTTGCCAGTTTTAATTACAATGAATTAAGCGAAAAACATTGCAATGCGTTTCATTTTCAGGTCATTTTGCACTATAAAAATGACCATGCTGGAAAAAGGGTGAGAGAGAATAAGCTGAAAATGTGCACATAAACAACTGGTCTAGACCAACATCAATTGTTTAAAAAATCTCTGAAAATCTCTAGTCATGTCACGTCAAAATAACACAGTGGAGTCCCTTTCAATCTCGTATCGCGCTGTCATTTAGTATATTTTGTAAAACTGCTCTTGTAACGTCGATTTTAATTGGTTTATCGGGGCGTTGGTATAATCTATTAGATGGCAGATGCAAAGTCATTACAACAATTGCGTTTGTGTAATTTAATTAAATAATGTTTTCTTAACATTTATTAACTAATTATCTCCGCTTAATTCCTCCAGTTATTTACAAGATCCTGCAAATTCTGGTTCTGATTTAAACCGGATTAACTCTTATGAGATTTGAAGCACATTGTTGTTACACTCGTTACGGCAATATGCCAAGAGAAGGTATAAAATCCCGAAAAATAAGTTTCTTTGTATTTGGCGTTATTTCAACCCAATAGCAGACATCTTATGTGATGATATAGACGATATAGACTATGACAAAGAGATGCAAGAAACTTAAAAAAGTTCAACGTAAACAAGACAATATGTACCAACCTATTCATTAATCAATTCTTTTTATAATTATGATTTGACATTTATTGTGCCAATAAAATAGAATCTGACGACGTCAAAGAATAATCTTATGAACTGAGACAAGACATTTCATTGACTGCTGCTTATTATATTTCATGACTTAATGAGGTCGAAGTTATTGAAAACACAGTAAACAAAGAAAGGAGTTTTAAAACATGTCAATTAGATTCCACATTCGTCTTATTATTCGCGACAATATGGTTATTATGTTACTTGAATATGTTTATATTGCCTGACAAATTGAAAGTTATAAAAACATGAATATATCCTCAACTACAATGAAAAGAAAGGTTAATCAGATGTGAATGTATTACAAATAATTTCCACCATAATTGTTCATAATTACAAAACTTCATAAAACATAATTCTACTTGAAAATTTGCTAACTGTGGTTATTCTCTGCCACCAACAAAAAAACTAGTCCGAATATCGGTCAAAGTCTTACTTCTACGCAAAACGAAAGGCCAACGGACACAAGAGTTTTTTTTAAAAAGTTATTCGATGTACAGCCTTTGCTGAATCCTTTTTTGTTTCAAACGTAAAGGACAAAAAGTAAATTATCATTGAGCAATGTTACAATCGATGACCAAGATGAACAAGAACATAGCATCTCTTTCTTAATCATCATAGCCAAGTATTGCATACTCCCTGTATAAATAAAACACGACGGTTAAACATTTCGACATGATTGCAGCATCAACACTGTGCCTGTCTGGTCCATATCGTGTGTTGAACCATTAAATTACGCCTTTTCGTGCAAAACTGTCTCCATAAATTAAACATACTCGTATATGTTAAAATATATATTCATCACTTGATATAAAGATAAATGGCTAAAATGGTGAACAGTGAAAACATTAAAACTTCGGAGTATGTCAACATTTTATGAACCATTTATACACACCGTTACTTTCACGAAAAGCGGCGCAATAAAATGGTTGTCAAAAATCTCATGTGATCATGTACGACTGAATAAAGGATCTCTGTTGACTTATGATTGCTAAAAATAAACAGAGACTTAATGTTGAAGTCCTCTTAAGCCGGTGCGAGGGGCCGTAGACGGTAGATTGCACATTCAAGTACCGTCTACTGACAGGCTAAATCAAACCAAAACTGGAACACTTCCATTTTTTCCGTTTTGGGCGTTCTTTTCTCTATTTTGGGGTATGTCTAAAAACAGAAATTCCCGACACTTTCAGGCAATCGTTTATAATGAAAAGTGCAGGATGACTGAATATCATAAAAGTGTAAAGTATGGTTAGGTATTTTTGGTCCCTTGGATGTATGCGGTGCTCATAGTAAAATGCTGTGTTCACATTCTTTAAACATTGGATGTAAGTCACAAATACAAAAGGGTATTTAACAACTTGTTGAATAATGATGATAACATTATAATAATACATGTATATATTAAACATTCTGACGTTCAAAATTATTTAGACTACTTTTCTAAACACATTATAAGTTAATTTGAAAACTTGGCACAAATAAATAACAAAAGAAGAATAAGAATTCTTTTTACTTTATTTTTCTTCCCAAAATCAATATTATAATACATTTATTTATATAGTAATTTCATATAGTTTTACTTCTTTGATATTTTATATACAAACACAATGCAACAGAGCATATAAATGTACAGCAAAAAAATAAAAAAAATAAAATAAAAAACAACAAAATTTAAAAAATGAAAGCCGTATGTTTCAAGCAAAAGAATACATCTATTTCACATCTCAATTAAATTTAATTAACATTTTCTTTTTCTTTTTAACAATACATAAACGAAATAAGGTTGTCAGCAAGCAAAACTTGGCAGTCTAGTCCGTGCAGTTATTTGCCTTGTTTGAAGCAATATCTATACCTGGAAAAGGGAAACAACCCCTTTCAATTGTATAGCAATATTTTCGACGGATGCGGACAGAGTTATCCAAAATGGATGTTTAACAGGAAAACCATATCACGTTTAACAATTGTAAAAATAATGCAGTACCCAACTTTACAAATGATTCAGTACATCACATGCAACGGTAACAAATAAACAAAACCATCATAAATTGTATACATTTGCGCCCATTGTTTCCTTTTTTATTTAACGACAAAACATAAAATAAAATTAAAAATAAATCATAAATCATATGCATAAATTGCACATCATCTCATAGCAACAGACTAGCATGTCACGTGACTTTGCCTAAATGTGCTCAATTATATCACAAGCAAGGTTGCTGGTACAGTCAGCTTTATTCTGGACATTTTTCCGTTTCCTGTGCTCACTGCTGATTGCCTGGATATTGCTGATATTATTTGAAACACTATATTGTGTCTGGTTTGGAAACATAAACGTTATTTTACGTAGTTTACGTTTATTTCCGAGTAAGGAATTTCTCTTCGAGTCCGTAACGGGATGTAATTCCTTGGATACTGCATTGTCCATGTCAACTGTATCGAAGTAAAATGTTAAAAAATGAATGATAATGCTATAAAGTATCAAAAAGAAAACATACATTTATTTTTTGTTTGTTTCAAGATAATTTGTGAATACCAATAATTAACGGAGTAAGTTCACGAGCATATACAGAAATCGTGTATATACATATATAGCTATAGATAGACTATTAAAAATCAGTTAAATATCATATCATATTACATAAAATATTGCATCAAAATTGATAAATCCCTGGAAAAAAACGTATATTTTACAGGTCAATAAAAATGCATGTTGTAGATGTCAGAAAAAACAACAACATAATTTGTTATAAAAGAAATGTTTGAAAGGTAAACGATTTTGTCTTGGGCTCTTAAAAAAGTTTCTAATCGTTAGCCTGCTGGAAGCAACATATTTTACCCATGTAACCAGTGCAGATTAAGATCAGCCAATACATCCATTTTGTCTGATAATTGTCTGCACTGCTCAATATTAAGTCAGTATTTCTACGGTGTTCCGTTATCTCTGAGAACTTAAAGAGCGAAACATGACAGTACGATGGTGATAGTGCGATTGTACGAATACGACAGTACGAAATGCTGTCACCATCGTACTGTCGTACTTCATCATCGCACTGTCGTATTGTCACGATTGTACTGTCGTACTTCGCGTTTTTTCCCCGTTCACAGATAAAACATGCTGGCCCAAACGGAACAACGTACATTTATGATACAAAGCGTTGTAATTGTAAGGAAAACATTTCTTTCCTTAAAAGTATTTTAAGATGTATAAATGTAAACATAGCTATTCGAGGAAGAGTAATAAACCAATAATTGCTTCTGTATAGGAAGCTTTCAAGTGATGTAGTACTTACATCTCTAAATGTGCGTAAATATTTAAAAATAATTGTAACCGCATATCTTTAAATGTTTGTATACATATATTTATATCTTTAAAATATTGTGTACATATTTCTTCAAATAATTGCCTAAATATACCTTTAAATTACTGTGAACATATTTCTTTAAAATACTGTTTACATATATCTTTGAATTATTATGCACATATATCTTTAAATTACCACGTACATACACCTTTAAATTATTGTACACATATTTCTTTAAAATACTCTTTTAAAATACTCTTTAAAGTATATGTATAAATCTTGCTTCTGTCCGGTGCAAATGTATCTATCATTCTTACAAGTATAAAACCTTACAATACACCAATGTGATTTATTTTAATAACATTGTTATAATTGTCATTATAAACTTTCAGACTGCCAATTATGATATGTAATCTGTAAACATAAACTATTTTTTTGCAGAATAATATATCGAAATCAACATTTTTAAAGTGATTGATTATTTTCTAAGTGCATCACGCACTTTGATACACACGTGAAGATATTAAAATTCATTTTTCATTTTTCTAAAATTAATTATGCAAAGACCCACCTATTAATCGATTTTTAAAAATATGGCTGCAATGCTATGATATAAATACATTTAGCCAATTTAAATAATTAAAACAATTCATTCTATTTATAAATCGGTAAAATGATACATGTTTTAGTTAAATTTACTTCATCGTAATAATGATCATGGAAATTATTCGATATTATTTAGATAAAGTTAGTTAATCAATTATATTTTTAGTCCATACAAACTTGTTAATTCTATTAGACATGTGTCCTAGAAAAAACATTTTAACACTAAAATGCATTTTATCAAATAGATGGATGGCAAAGCTTATCATTTGAACTGATTAAAAAAGTTAAACCAGTCATATTTTACCAGTCATTCCAGTCATACATCATCCACATACACACCAGACGACAAACACAATAACAACAACAACAATACATTCAAGTACCACTTTCGTAAAACATATTTATATAATAAAAGATAATAAAAAAGATCAAAGAAATAAAGAGACGCCGACAGATACTAACCATTTAGACATGCAAGTTAAACACGGCTATATATTACGATAGTAATGCTGATGAACTATCGTGCTTGCAACCTTTGTCTGAAATTCCAAAAAAACGAAAGCAAATGAAATTATTAAGAACTTATTTTCCAAAGATGCATCGATGGGACTGTTATTTTGGCAATTGTTTAGGTCCTCTAGAGGGTTATTATGTGGCTCCAATCTCTAGACCACCCTGTGGTCACCGTTGTTTGACATTTTTCATGAAAGGGACCATTCAAATGCATCATAAACTTACCGTGTCCACCAAAATTGGTCCAGTACAAAATTACAATATATATGTTAAACGGACGAGTTTTAATTGCCAAAAACCAAAGCTCGGAATGCTGTTATTAGCCGAACCGTTTGTCTGCTGTAAAAAATAGACTGTTTAATCATGCTATTATAGCAAAATATAAATAAATATGTTACAGTTAAAAATATCAAGTAAAAGTTTGTTAGTAAAATGTATAACTTCCATGCAGATTCTAGTTGTTTGTTAGTAACAACTGGTTAGTAGTTGTTTTAGTAGATTGCATGCATGCGTTCATGCGACATCGTTGCTAATCTTTGTTCATCAAGCATTGTTATAACTGTTTTATACTTAGCATTTATTTTTATTTACAAAACAAAATGCCGTTAGCAGTTTATGTTAGTACGTTTGTATCTAGGCATGCAAACACTAAATCTCACCCGATCCAACCTTCATTGTGCTAAGTACAGGTCTAGAAAAGTCATTGTCGGTCGTGTTATAACTTCTATTTGGAACTGTGTGGACCAGAGGGTGTACCTCTGTTACCGGTTTAGCTCTGAAAACAATAACTTAATATGTTCTGTCTATAATTATTGTTGGTATGAAAACATTCATGATTATTCAATTTAAATGAGAAACCTGAAAAAATATTCAGAAGCCTCTGCTAGAATGATATGATTATAATATCTAGTAAAGCATTTTACTAGCAGTAAAACGATGACAAAATGCACTAGCACCGGTTTAATAAAAACTTCAACATTAGAAAGATTGGAAAAACTTATTCATATTTTAGAAAACAATACTCAGTGTCTAAGAAGCCAAACATTCGCCCTTAAACGATATAAAGGACAACTGATTTCTAGAATGTTCTCCTTGCCTCAATTATACTTATAGGGTATCACTTTATGTAACATAAATGACTGGTTGTTTTCAATCTTGACGATGCAATGAATTATTTTAACAGGACAACAGTCATGGAACCAATGCATAATTAAACGAATAAACTTACATTTGTATAATTAAGAGGAAATTTGGTACCAAGTTACGGAGGAACAAATCTTCATTTATCAAAAATCGTTTAATGAGATGGGCTATGGTTTTTCTCTTTGTTTGTTTTTTAACCTTTCTTGTTGTTGTTGGCATTGCTGCCAAAGTGACAATACAATGACTTGCTTAAATGGTATGGAAAATTAATTTAGGATCCATAGAGAACTAATCATACCGTCCGTTTTCCTTGTGTATGTTGTTTGTTACTATTGATCCTCTATGTTTAGGAGGTCCACAATACACACCACCAAATACATCGTCTTCACCTTGGTCTTCATCATCGTCGTCGTCATCATCATCGTCGAATCTTCGTGATTTGGATAGACTTGATTTTCCTATGTGCTTGCTTTTATGTATAACAGAATTTAGTTAAGACAAGAAAGTTTTAGTTGTTTTATTTATTTGTATATACAAATTCCGTGTTTGTGGTCAAAGCTACATTTACATAATTATGTGACTTACAAATAAATTATTTCACTTACATATGTGGTACGTAAAAATACGAGACAAATAATAAATTGTCAAAACAAAAGATATTTGATATTTATAAACTGACATAAAATGACATTATTTATATTTTTGGAATTTTAATTTCAGACAAAGATGTGGCATAAAATGTTTTCTTCTTATCTTTTAGATATATTTTTCTAATTTGAGTTCATGCAAGCGCTATTTCTTATTTCATACAACAGAAGTTAGAGTATCAAGGCTAAAAATGACAATAACGATACGTCATACCTGACGTCATCAGCGCATTCTATCACAGACGTATCGGTACACGCTGACGTCACAGATTTATTCACGTTGAAATGAAACTTATTGGCAGGACTGTTGTTTCCTATCGTCCATGTTGCCGACCCACAGCTTATATCAGAAAATAATGAACCATTGTCTGCATCCGACCCTTAAATGTTTAAATCAAATTGAGGTTTATAAAATATTTTTTTAAAAAATAAGATAACGACACTAAAATATCAAAATGATATCAAAGCAAAATACAACAACGACAACAACAATAATACAAATATGATAATAATATCTATAATAATAATAACGATAATATGCTAAAAAAATAAATACATTTTGTAAGAAAAATATGAAAAATTCAACAATATTCGTAAGTCAATAAGCAGATAATATTTAATTTAAACATATTCATTTCCCGAATATTTACATGATATACATAATACAATACAATCAGAATACAAAAATATAATATATTCAAAGAAAAGGATGAGAACGAAAGACTAAGTATCATAAAATTCTTCTCCTTAATAATAGATAATATTTACATAACTCTTCATATTTAATTAATTGATATAATTCAGAAAGGACAGAAATAAAACTTAACATGCCATTCCGCCACTTCAAACAACCGTGACTGAACATTTTTTATATATAAAGACATATACATTTTCTAAAATTGCTAACAATTCATCTTAATTATTTCATTAAATTGTCATTTAAAAAAGCGACATAAACTGCAAATCCTTACTTTGTGAACTAGATTCGAAGAGAAAAAGAAAATATATGGACTTTTAACATTCTCTCAAATTGATTTTGTTGAAATAAATACAAAGGATCACATTAAATGAATTCCCAGAAAATCTTAAGATGTCCCTAGAGGATCTTTAATCTTTGTTTGAATATTAACTGATATTGATTATATATGAAGTACTCCCAGTTGGTTTAAGAATCTACGAGAAGAAATCAGTTTAAAACATTTCCCCGCATTGATATCTAAGTGATTTCTACATCAAATTACTTTCATATTTTCTTTTATGTATCGCAAGACAATTTTATGTTTACAAGACAATTCTATTTTAACAAGACATTGTTATGTTTATTAGTCAATTTCCTTGTTTTCTGTGATTCTATATAATCCAGCACATTTATGTGTCAAAGAAAACTCTTCATTATCATATATTGTCAAACGTATATAATTCAGCACGTGTTTTGCTTAATAAAACAAACTTTTTTTCATAGAAAATAATTCATAGTCTCATTACAACTCAACTTATTTTTATTCTTTTAATACGGAAACATAAACACTAGCACACTAAGTCGAGAGATAATTCTGGCTCGTTTGAGAGCATATTTATGATTGATTCCCGCAGCTCTCAATTTAAGTACAATTCATTGACGCCAAAGTATTTTCAGCATGCAAAAACAAGTATTTGCTACCCAGGGTAAACTCGTACCTTGACAGACAGACAGACTCTTTTATCTATAGAACACATGTGCCATTGTCAAAAAAGTTTATTTCAGAACTCAAAACATTAAATACATGACAATATGAGCTAAAGCATATACACACACAAAATGATTTGATAAACAATCCAATTATTATTAAAGAGATTCTTGTGAAAATCAACTAAATCATGCATTCTAAATATTATATCTTCTTTTTCTTCTGTAATCGCGACCGTAATAAAATTTCAATTGTTACTGCAGAATATATCAGTTTACTTCATTTGCTTGTTATACATGTAGTTGAGATAAAATTGCAAAGGTGTTGACACTCACCAGTAGAAAATTTACTAGGCGACGAGTCAGCTAATCTTAGTTCTACAACCTTTTTATGTATAGGACTTTTACCAGCAAAATATATCTCATGTGTATCTTCTCCCAACTGCTCCATTAAATCATGTAAAATACGCATTTTCTGTAAGGTAATAGAAACAATATTTTATTTAATACAGGTGAACATTTAATGATTTATTTTAAAGGGGGCTTCACTGAGGTAAAAAAAACCCCTAAAAAACATAAAATTTGAAATTCTTACATACGAAAGCAACACACGTAAAATGGAAAGAGGATAATAAAGAAATATATTCAGAATTAAACCGAAAATTGTCCGCAAGTTAAGTTCTTAGTCCATTTGACCAAAAACAATTTTCATTTTCTTTTGGTCATCTGCACAATAAAAGTGATTATTCTTTAAAAATAAGATGAGGTAATGATCTGGAATTTTTTTGCACACAAGTTATTGGTTCAGACCTTAATCAAATTGTTCATAAATCTCGGGAAAACATCCAGTCTCGACATGTCAAACAAACTTCAGTGAAAGCAAATAGAAATAGTCTATATATTTTGTCACTGTCAAGCAGCCATTTTCACATAATATGTACATCTATTCATTATACTACGGACAATATTAATTTAATGATTTTGTTTAAAAAAATTATATTTGGTATATGTTCGACAAATTAATATCAAATATGTAGCCTTATCAGAATATGAAAAAAATAAGATTTATACCTCAGATATGATATTTCTAAATTTGATATTTTCTGCCTGCAGGTCTTCATTCTTTTTATGCAGGTCATAGTTAGCCTCTTCTCGACTAGTTTGTTTCTTTGGCTTTTGTAACTTGGCTCGAATCCGTCGCTCCTCTCCTGTAGGGTCCCTCTTTAGTTCCAGAAGCTATTGTATATGTGCAAATGATATATATCAGGTACAATATGCATAGATATTAGCAAATAAGAAAGAAAGAAAGAAAATTGCGAAAATGCATTACAAAATTCTTATTCACTTTTTATTTAACAGATACCGCCATTGTCGTATTACCAAAAGAAAGAAAGAAATAAAAACAACAACATAAATGATAACAATAACAAAACAATTCCCCAATCCGCCCAGAAAATCATCTAAAAAGAACTTAAAATAACCAAACGCCCAAAAAACTAATACCCTCGCCTCCAGAAAGCATTGAAACTAACCTCTCCCGGAAAAAAGAAGAAAGAAAGAACACACAAACAAGAAAATAAAAACGAACCGTATCATGAAATTAATTTTAATTTATTCAGTGGTGCATTTCCCTCTCCATCGATTGTCAATTTGTGAATACTTAAAAAATCACAACTCGTACACTTACTTATCTATTCATTCATTATAAAATCAATTAGTAGACACTCAATTCAAAATATATTCAGATTCGGTAGGCTTTGTTTAATCGAATATTGCTTGAAGTCTATCATGCCTTCGGTAAAAAGCTATATGTTTACATTACCGAGTTATATTTACATACAAATACAATACATCAAATTTACATACAAATAACATCAACATCTATAAAACATACCAGAGTAATTTTATATTTTAATCAAGGAAATGTTATTGATGACTGCTGTCAGAGTTATGTAAATATATACTTAAGTATATTAATCCAGTCATATATTGAGGAAATATACAAATCTATACCCACCAGACCGAGCAATTTAATTTGTTTTTAGTGTAAACAGTTCAGTGTGCAGAAGTCATTACAATAAAGGGATGATCATAATTTTACAAAATGTAAAAGCTACGCATAACTAAGATTTAGAAACAAGAAACTATTGTCATAAAAATCAGATATGATAATAAAAATAATAATAATAATAATAAAAATAATAGTAATAAAAATAATAATAATAATAGTAATAATAATAATAATAATAAAAATAATAATAATAATAATAATAATAATAATAATAATAATAATAATAATAATAAAAATAAAAACAATAAGTAAATAAAAATAAGATAAAATAAAAAAACATAAAAAATAGGTGAACATCGCAGACTTGATTTGATTTGAATTGAGTCTGTTTATGCAAGTTCTCTCACGTCCCCAGCCTAGCATCGGCTTAAGCTTAACATTTACACTTTATAATCATATTATTAAATCAGGTATGTGTCGGAATTATACCAATTGAGGAAATAAATATTTCTTATTTCTAAATACTTTGTGCAATGAAAAAAGGTTACTTCAGATATGGCCGCCTTTTGGGAGTTTTATTGTCTTTACTTATATCTTTGAACATCTTATCTCTTTTATACCATGAGCAATGGATTTCACAAAGAATAGTTGTACGAGTATATACGGATAATTGCCGCTATTTCTTTAATTATGTTAGCGATCAATCACAATTAACCACGTTTAACAACAATCAAAAGCCCATTTTCTTCCGACGTCTTTCGTACAATTAATGTCACTATTGCAACAAATATCATGACAAATAAGAACTTTCATTTATTTTTATTTCTGTTGATAAAGGAAAAGTGTTTGTAATGGCTGTAAATCGAAAGTTGCAGCTCAATATATACAAACACAATTGCTAATAATGATAAAATAAGTATTGTTTTAGTTAAACAAATCACATAAATAGTCCATTTATCCCCAATTAACTTAAAATAGGAACGTCGAAAAATGTCTTCTGGTGTTCAAATGATTGTTTCCATGCCGGATAATAAAAGAGTAGGCGAATATCATCGTAACAAATTTGTAAAACATGCATTTTTTTCACAACTTTTTATATCTATTTCATTTTCAAAATAAAAGGAAAGAAATCAATTACTTTAATAACTTATACCACTAATCTTTTGCCAGTACTTTGTGTTAAAATATATTTGATATATATTTGCCTGTTTACTGAGTACATAATCAAGACATTATTACCGAACGAATGACATGCAGTTAAATTTGATATATAAAATAAATTGTTAACAATTTTATGTTCTTTTGCACGTGTGCATGTCCACGCACGTGTGTGTATTAGTATTGGTGGTGGTTGTGGTGGAAGTAGTTAGTAGTAGTAGTAGCAGTTAGTAGTAGAAACAGAAGTAGTATTAGTAGCAGCAGTAATAATAATAATAATAATAATAATAATAATAATAATGGTAATGATAATAATGATAATAATTGACATCTTATAATAATAACAATAATAATAATAATAATAAAGCAATTTGCTTCTTATGTCTGTTAATAAATTAAAACATAAAATCAAGGACAACTATACCTTTGGTCCAAAGACAAGACACAACGTGATGGTTGTGCAGAAGATGATAAAGAAGCTGATGATGACGAATGATGACGTAGGTTGATCATTGATGACGACAGAGACCGCAGCGCCACATACACACATGATCACTACATTGTAGACGCTCATTCCAATATATTTAGAATCGTTCAATGCTGGGATACTAACTTGCCGGGTCTCCCAGGCCAGAAAACAACCAAAAACCTGAAATTACGAAATACGAATCTTGACCTTATATTGAAATTTACATAAAATCATGTGCCTTTCAATATTTAGATAGGATTATATTTATTACTTATGCAATACATGTTATATTAAGAAACATAGATCTATATTATATAGATCTAAATGTATCATAATCATGGTATCGGATAAACTTTGATTTCATTTTACATTTTATTTTGAGTTACAAGTGTTTCAAAATAAAAAAAATAAAAATAAAAATAATAAAAATAAAAAATAAACATTAGTACGCAAAACGGTTCTGTTTGAACCTTTAGTTGAGAATATATAATTGTGTCCCACTCATGATATTTCCTAATTACACCCCAACTGTTATACCCTTGCGGCTATTGCAGACCAAGGCAATTTGACGTAATAAACCCCTAAGGCATACTTTAACAATTTTTATTTTATTACTCGCACTTTACATCATAATACAACAATACACACATCATTAAGATCTTTTTTCTTAAAGCACATCTAACACATGTAATTTCTGTGCGGATTTACGGTTAAGACAATGTGAATATAGAAATGTTTAAATCTATATGACAAAAGAATCTCAAAAAGACTCAATATTTCTACCGTGGGTTTTACAGTTCGTGACTGCTGAAATGCCATTACAATATTCATCCACTTATATTAATATATACTTGCTTCCTTATTCTGGAAAGTTAATACAAAGTTCTGTCCTTACACACAAAAATTTGGTATTTTATGTTGACTCTTGAAAAGAAAATGAGAACAAAAAAATCAAAGAGCAGCATTTTCTTTATTCTCATTCAAAAGCTGATTTAACATTTATAATTTTGTTTTTCTTCTTTTCTTGATTAAGAATATTGCACTTAAATAATCTCAGTTGGTCCCGTCTCTTCATCTGACTCAGATATTTCTTATAAAAACAATTGCATCCTACGTGAAACATCCATCTGAGAGTGCGATATACAAATATATTTTCCTCAATTCCCTAAGAGTTATCACAAATAATAAATCTACAAGATAAATTTGTGTATTCTGTTCTTTGTAAATATGTCTCAAGGGAACTTTTGGAAAATATCAAATCCTTAGCTTTTGACAATATCCGATCTGCTTTGTTTTCAATGTCCTGGCACAACTTTTATCAAATTATGTAAGCTTGTTGTTTTGTAAATGATCGTCATCCCATGACAAACCTTTCAATCAGACAATTACAGGAGGAATTTTATTGAAATAGAAAGGTCTTGGATAAGAGAGGCAAATGTGGATGCTGTGAGCATTGTTTTTGTTTTTATTATATAATCGCAAGAAACACTCAAGTATCATTCAGCTTTGTGAATTATTCAAATGAATCACAAGAACAAAAAACTGCCATTAATTTCATGAACAAACATTTATGAAAAGTTTTATGTAATAACAAACGCTGCTTGGAATTATGCTTAGAAGCAAATAAAAAATGTAATTATAGCAACATATTTTATGGAATTAAGCTTAAAGGGAAAGTTTCTCTCATAGTTTTACCATAGCATTTGAATCTGGAAAAGGGGTGCTTCTTCAGGAGGAATGTAAACAAAGTTTTAAAAATAAAATTTTCAGGTTCGGTTGAGAAGCATGAGAAACAAACCCTACTACACATAACTTAATGCAATATCAATTTTAGAACTAAGTACATAAATAAAACGACTACGATTGTCCTACATTTAATGCAAACTACATGATTGTGTAAAATAACCTGAACACAACTTTAACTAAAAAGATTTTTTCTTACCAGTAATAGACCTTTATAAGCATATATAAGGCCTAGCCAAATTGACATATGTTTACTTTTGCAGTATTCAATCACGGGTACAATATCTAAATCACCTTCAACCTAGAATTCAACAAAACAAATATTTGTTTAAAATTAAACGTATATGTTTGATGCATTACAGAACGTAACTAAAGCAAAACGACGTTCCGATATTTGTCTCAAGGAAAAACAATACAACTGGACGCTATATATTAGATGTATACTCCTTCAAATGAATAAAAAAAAGAAGATGATTTAGAAATAACTGCATAAACATTGTTTCACAAACGAACATATTTTTTGGTAAAAAAAAAGATTGCTACTAACAAAAACATTTACATGGAATTTATTGATGTATTTCTGTGATAAGTTACCGATGGTTGCTGTTTAGTCGTACAAATGGTATTGCTAACTGTAATGCAAATTACGAAAAAAAGAAAAATCTTTCAATGAAAAAACACATATTATTGTTATACTAGATTCAACATTATTTTTTTCATTAAAACTATAAAATTGTTTAAAAAAATTGTGTTGCTTTAAGACTAAAATTATTACCATCGTTGTAAGATTTTTTGTAGATGTTTGTAGAGGATCCAGTATTTGCCATGTTACCAATATAGCGGCGTCGATGTTCAATAATATTGTCACAACCAAAATTAATTTATAGTCTTTAATAACCTGGAGAAAAAAAATTAAATTATAATTATATTACTTTAACGCGAGCGGTGACCCACGGGTAACTGTATTTCAACACTAAGATCATGGGGTCGAGCTCTCTATTTGAGTTAAACGATAACAATGTCTAAGGTTATAAGGACATTTTCAAAGCTCAAACTCAGACCTCCAGTTTTTTATTTGAAACCAGCTCAGATTGTTAATTGACAAATGAAAATTCAGAGACTTGAGATTTAACTCAGAAACAAAAAAGTCAAAACGTTTTCTGAGATTTTGCCCGGAAATCAGATTTTTTTCTCTTAAAACATTTGTACATATCACATATTCTTGCATATCAGACTGGCGTTTCCGTTAGTTTTACCCATGCCGGAAATTTCATCTGGCATGGGGGGTTCCAGATGAGTCGCGTGCTGTACAATGGCACGATAAAGATGACGTCATTTTACAGTTATGAATGATTTTGTAATTCATACGATGTTGAATGAAAGTAGTTACGGTTGTAATGATATAAATTTTCATTGAAAATAAAGATAAAGAATTTAAAATATAATGGAATATGGTAGAATATGCAAGAAAAAATATCTGACATATGTTTGCGGTTCGGATCGGAATATCCGTCCCTCGGTCACCCGCCCATGGGCGGTAACTCGGCAAGCCTCGTTACCGCCCAATGAGCGGGTCACCTCGGGACGGATATTCCGATCCGACCCGCAAAATATGACAGCTATTATTAATCTTACAATGAATGCTTAATAAATTTAAGAAACAAATAACCCTGAATATTTTTCACTGTAACTCTTTTTTAACAGATCACAATGAGAACCAGAAAAAATAGAGGATGCAAAATTGATTGATTTATTATCAAACGTAAGCTACACTGCTTATGCCGTTGCCAAGGTAACATTTTTTATATTATTTTTAAACTAGGTTTACTTTAAAAACAAATGCAAATACTGCCAAATATCGTTGCCAAGCAATGATATTAATTATTTAAAGCAGGACTTCAGTTAAAAACCCAAACAAAACACTTAATAATACTATATATGATCCTAAAAATTATAGGATCCTTATCCCTTATCTCTTTTTATTTAAATGATCATGTACACAAAAGGCCTCTATGTTTGTGTTGATTTTGATTACAACTGCAAAATAGAGCACCAGATACTAAATATTAATGTTGCATATTCAGTGCTTAACAGAACTTCAAATATTTATCAACTTGAGAAATTACAACTATAACTTGTCAAGTTTAAGACATTTCTCACATGATAAACGAAATATAATTTCGTAATGAACCCGGATTGCAAAAGGTTATTCATTTCATAAACTATAAACATATTTTTTTCTTAAGTTTGCTTTTAAAAAAAAAAAAACATTGTTTACTCGTTCTGCGGGCGTTCCGCTTTAAACAACTAGCATTAATGAGAAATAAACCGTATTTTAATTGTATTATCTTGACAGCCTGCTAAGAATTTTTTTAAAGCAAATTAATCTTCAGCTGCCAACGCCTTTTTTTGAGAAAGAAAAACAATAAATTGCTGCTAAATATGTGTCGCTCGACCAACTTAATTTTGTTAATTAAACAATCTTTAAATCACAATTGTATGGTGGCATAGAGGTGACATTTGCAGTTTTATTTTATCTCGTGGCCACGACTTATTATCTTGAGGCCTCAAGATATTATCTCGTTGCCACGACTTATTATCTCGTGGCCACGACTTATTATCTTGTGGCCTCAATATATTATCTCGTGGCCACGAGTTATTATCTTGTGGCCACGACTTATTATCTCGTGGCCACGACTTATTATCTTGTGGCCTCAAGATATCATCTCGTGGCCACGACTTATTATCTCGTGGCCACGACCTATTTTTCTCGTGGCCTCAAGATATTATCTCGTGGCCACGAGTTATTATCTTGTGGCCACGACTTATCATCTCGTGGCCACGACTTAATATATTGAGGCCACGACTTATTATCTCGTGGCCACGAGTTATAATCTTGTAGCCACGACTTATTTTCTCGTGGCCACGAGTTATTATCTTGTGGCCACGACTTATTTTAGCCAATGAAAATGGTCGTTTCATCTTGAACAAAATTTAATATCACACTGGCAATAGCAGTCACAGGAGGTGCGTGTCAATCACCACCATATATTCACTTAAGTTCACGCTTTTTCCCAGAGACGTGCTGAATTTCAGTAAGGGCTAATCAGGTAGTATATCATTATAAACTGTATCGACCACATTAACACGTCCACTGAGTAGACTCTTGTCATCACTAATTCGCCCTCTGTATTCTTATCTTATGGTCCTAACGTTTAAGGATCAAGTTTCTGTAGATGCAGTTTTTCATAAAATACACTCACTTTAAGTGGTCATCACCGGTAGGAAGTTAGCAGTAGCATTGAGTAGTAGCAGTAACAAAATTATAAAACATGAAGTTGGCAGTAACAGTAGCACAGAAGTAGCAGTAGCAAAATTATAAAACGTTAACCATGAATATATGTTGTGTCAGTTTTTTTAAGTAAAGATTACTTGACCTGTTATAGGGAATGCAGCTTCCTGTACATAGTTTATTGTTTTCTTTATTCAAGTTAGACGCATTAAGTTAGAATATCATAGATTTAAATAAATGTCTGTGATTTTAATATTCAATGGAGAGCAAGGTTTTTCTAATGTGAAGTCAAAACATGTTTATTTTATGTTTACAAAGAGACAGTGTAACAATTATCAATATTTTCTAATATCAAATTTAAGCAAAGTATATCTTTAAAGATGAATGAAAGAAACACCTGACCATACAAAACAAAAGAAAGGGGTACACTAACAACTATAAAACGTCCCCCTTATTCACCGCTGCAGCGTTTGACCCGCCGCTCTTGTGACACTTTGGCCAGTGTGATATACGGTCGTTGTGATATTAACTTTTATTCAAGATGAAACGTCCATTTTAATTGGCTGTAATAAGTCGTGGCCACAAGATTATAAGTCGTGGCCACGAAATAATAAGTCGTTGCCACAAGATAATAACTCGTGGCCACGAGATAATATCTTGAGGCCACAAGATAATAAGTCGCGGCCACGACATAATATCTTGAGGCCACAATATAATAAGTTGTGGCCACGAGAAAATAAGTCGTGGCCACGAGATAATATCTTGAGGCCACGAGATAATAAGTCGTGGCCACAAGATCATAAGTCGTGGCCACAAGATAATAACTCGTGGCCACGAGATAATAAGTCGTGGCCACAAGATAATAAGTCGTGGCCACAAGATAATAAGTCGTGGCCACGAGTTAATATCTTGTGGCCACGAGATAATAAGTCGCGGCCACGACATAATATCTTGAGGCCACAATATAATAAGTTGTGGCCACGAGAAAATAAGTCGTGGCCACGAGATAATATCTTGAGGCCACGAGATAATAAGTCGTGGCCACAAGATCATAAGTCGTGGCCACAAGATAATAACTCGTGGCCACGAGATAATAAGTCGTGGTCACAAGATAATAAGTCGTGGCCACGAGTTAATATCTTGTGGCCACGAGATAATAAGTCGTGGCCACAAGATAATAAGTCGTGGCCACGAGATAATATCTTGAGGCCTCAAGATAATAAGTCGTGGCCACGAGATAAAATAAAACTGCAAATGTCACCTCTATGCCACCGTACAATTGCGTAGAATATCACCATCATTAATCTATGTCAACAAATTTGGTATTTGCGCATTTCAAGAGCAGAATTCAAATGCCCCTTTTATCTTATTTCTTTTTCACAACTATGATACTTTTCACATATAATGCAATAACATGGTACACAATTTGAAGCATTTTGATATGCCATAATGTGAAAGAGTTACAGGTTTATTTAGCAATTAACTTCTTTTAAGGCAGATGTTGTCAGATGTTACGCAATTAATCTGAATTTAAATAGTTTTCACAGATTTAACTGAGAGGAAAAAATCTAATATATAACATATTTATTTTACAAAATAACAGATTTATGTTACAAAAACGAGCTGTAATTTGTCAAAATGTTTCACTCTTAACCACATGTGTTAAATTTGAAAATGCCACTTACCTTTTTATGAAGTTTTATATCTGTGAATATAGAGTGAACTCTCCAAGTTTTACTAAACATTGCACCAAATGCCAAGGTAAAACCAACGGAAAGAACCCATGCACGAGACTATAAAAAGAAGTGTGGAGAAAATTTAAAGCGTTATTTATCACTCAACTAAACTGAAAAATGTTTACATTCCGTAGCTTTTATAACGATTATAAAGGATATGTTTATATACATGTATATGTACCAATAAAATAAGAAAAATCTATTTCTACATGTAAGTTAACTTTTCATCACTAAAATATATTGATAATTTACACTTATTTTGAATTATTATGACTGACTGACTGAATGACTGACTGAATGAATGAATGAACGAACGAACGAACGAACGAATGAATGAATGAAAAAATAAAGAATGATGTATTGATGGATCAATCAACTAAATTGAATTTAGTTGAACAGTTACGTTGTAAATTCTGCAGCTTTTAATATAATCTGTACATGAAACGATGATATATTTAAAAATTAAAATATTTCTTAAAACATAGTGAATTTATTTTTTGATAATAAGTATCTATTTTGAAAAGCCATTAATGAATACGTATATCAATCAATCAATCAATCAATCAATCAATCAATCAATCAATCAATCTATCAATCAATCAACTGATCGATCGTTCGATCAATCAATTCAATTCAATTCATTTCAATTAATCATAAAATCTGTCTTTGACTGCAACACTATTTGCACTAGAAGACTTAATAAACACACTTACTGTACATATATGACCTAAGTAGAATATATTAACAACCCCTCCGTCGGTTCCTAGGAGCAGTACACTAAGATATGTGAAAATACATCCGACAATGATGATGTTGTTCAAATTAGGCGACGACATTTTTATGTACCTGTAAAACATTTGAATTTTTGTATTCTGTACTTAGCACGATTGTTACAACATTCTATGTTTAAAAAATAATCAAATTGCACTTAAGCCACAAATTGTGTAACTTTTTACTTTAAAGAATAGGAAGACAAAAAAAGAAAAAATAAACAATTTACCTACAAGATAATTATGAAAAAATAAGATGGTGTTTTGCATTTAATATATTTCAAACTTTTATTTATCAAACCAAGTATATAATCTCAATTTAACTTCATTTTATAATCATGATGTTTTAATGAATATTTAGACAATTTAAATTTTCAACATTTTTGTCACATTTAAGTTATTAAAATATGCACCATATCATGCAACATGCATGTACATTTTGCGGCTAATAAAATATTTATGTTATTCTTTCGCATTTAAATAAAATTCTGTTATATTCACACTATAATCATAACGGTGTCTTCGAAATTATCAAAGTACGATTCATTGTGAAATTTTGGATATCTACCGAGTAAAGGTAATAAACGTAGACCAATGGCATAAAGAATTACAGGTCCGGAAAAATTTCATTTTCGTTCTAATTTTTGTAAAAATATATATAGAAAAATGAAATGTTTACCTATGTTCTCGAAATATAATATTTGTGATGAGGAAGAATATAGCTAAAATGATGCCGACTCCAGCAAGGGTACAAATACTGAAATAAATACTCTTCGGAACCCTTTGATACTCCACCCGTATTAGCTTTCTATCTATCGGTGGCCCCTTCCCTGAAAATTAGCATAACATTTCGAAATTAAATCATCTCTTTTCTAAAATGACAATTTAAAACCTTTTCAACGTATAAATTCTAAAACGTTTAGTTAGTTTATTCGAATTTAATTTAGTTCGATTAGTGTTGGAAGCTTTAGGCGTATTGAAACACTTTCGAATCCGTTCCTGCAACTAACCAGTACTAAGCAATGAGTGTAACATTTCTTGGTCACGGAAGCACTTTACAAGTTTGTAAGCTGATAGAAATGCCTTTTAACAAGGTAATGGTAAGAAAGAAACGCTGTCCTTTGGCAGAGAAGAGACAATATGTATGTCTTGTAATTATCATTAACCTTACAAATAAAAGATGCTCTAGGGAAATAGTTTAGCTGTAGACACAAAAATAGACAAAAGTTTGGAAATTACACTGAAAATAAAACCGTTTGGAGTAATAGTATCTGTTTTATTGAATAAACTGTATAAAGTCGAACCGATTAGATATTACATTACATTGCATTAAATTATGATACAATGCATTGCATTAGACAACGTTTCCTTAGCAAATAAGGATGTGCTTTTTAGACGGGGAAACCATATTTGAAACCCGATTTCTGAAATTATTATGATGAAACTCCGAATGTTACTTTTTCATGTGTTTCTAAAACTAATTTTTGTTCATTGTCTACACATACATAATAAACCTTCAAATTTGAAACATATTTGCAATTGAAATTAAGTACTTGGGCATACAGACAGAAATTCATCAAAATTGTCGCAAAAACAATTTTCAAATTTGTGCAATCAATGATGCAAATATATCCGACAATTCACAAGATTATCTAAGCATGCGCAATGTTTAAAATCTTTAATCTTTTGAGACGTTTGTCTTAAAATTCCATCCTTATTTCTATTAAATGTTTGCTATTATTAATACTAAACTATTAGTCACATTTAATAGTTCAGCAACAACTGAAGTAAAACATTTTGATTAAAAACGTTGCGATTATCACAGTAAATTGCATTTGTGCACTGCGTGCAATTTTAGTACCTCAAGCCGTCCACAATCCATACTTGTTTCAGCCAAATACCTTCATAAATAATCGCTGCGCGGAGACACAATTTTGCCGCATGGTGTGATTATTAAATCATGGAGAAATATTTGTACGTCAAATATCATTACTGTATTAGATAAACCTCCGCGGAGATTAATCAGACCTAGACAGATAGCTGATTTATAGCATTATTACGCTCGCAAGACGTTTCTATAGAAAACACACTTTGATTAAATGTGGAAGACACGTTCTTTATTATTCCCCTGATGGACGACGCAACGATAGGTCAGTTTATACATAAAGGATCGTGTCAAACATAGACAGGCGGACATAATGGTGATATGGAGTCTCTATTCTTGGAACGGGAAGAAGCGATTAACCTGTCATGTACGTGTAAAATAAGAGATGTTGTGAGGGGTAAATGAATTAATGGATCATTCCAGTTGTTTGGGGATACATATGCACACTTTAAAGATATATATTATGCTCAAATTTGATATTTGCAAAAAAAAATGAAAATTACATTACTGTCTCTTTTTAAATATAAAATCAACATGCTTCGACTTAACACAAGGTATAGATAGATATTTAACACTATAGGAGGCCACAATATGTTATAAACGTATCATTTAAAAAAGCTGGCATTTTTTAAAGAAAGGACCAAATTTACTTGACCTGTAACAGGAAATGAAGCTTTTCACACATATTTTGTACATCCTTTTATTCAAATTAGTCATATTCAGTAAGAATATCATAGATGCCAATACATTTCTGCGATAAAATTATTGAATTCAAAGATGAACATAGTATATCTTTAAAGGAAAATATTATGAAAATATAATGAAAACTTTTATTTAGTATCAGATAACCGCTTACCTCGCCATAGAATTTTGTGAGTATTTTTGTAAGTTAGTTTGTCCCTTATTTTGTGGTATTCCGCAATTTTTACCATTCTATTGCCTAAAATTAAAATAATTTCAGTCTGTTTTTACAAATGATTTAATAAACATTCTATAGTTTTTCATGAAATTTAATCAATTACTTATTTAAATGATTAAACAATGTTTCCATGATTTTTGTCACTTTGATTAAATAATTTTCTTAACGTGATAAACAAATATTTAAATCCCCTGAATGTAAACTATCTTAACATTTGTACAAGCAATGCAAAGGTTAATGGTTTGTACATAATATCATAAACAATTTAATCGGTTTATCTAAACAGAAAAAGACAACCATCAGAATAGCATCATAAAACATGTTGTATTTTTATTGAGCATACAATATATTCAAATGCAATTAGTTCAACATCCTATTGTTTAATAAAGAAATAGATACATTGTATAAAAAGTACCCTGATACTGTTCAAATAAGATGGAACCTATTCTGTCTCCACCATTGAAGCGCACCGTGCCCTGAAAATGTAAGTTATTTGTTTGTGACATGTTTATAATAGATATGAAAGACATGGTATTATATAAAAGTTTTAAATAGTAAAATACTTAGGCTTGTACAATAGAACTTTGATACTAGTAGTTAATTTTTTCATATTTAGTGGTACATTTAGAACATTTTGTTATATCATGACATGTTGTAATACATTTTGTTTTGTTTATATTGTTCAACATTTATTTTAGTTCGATTGTGTTGGAAACAGTCTCGAATCCTATCCTGAGCAAACCAGTACTTAGCAATGAGTTTTAAGTTACTTGGTCACGAAAACACCAGCCTGTCCCTGAAGGTGTTTGATATCGTGCGGCAATCAATCCTTAAATGACAAGAAGTCCGATGCGTTCACCAATCGGCGACGCCACGCCGCAACTTTATTGACATTGTGTTTGAGTCGGACACCCGTAAATACAAGTAAAATTCAATTAAATGTCGTGAAATTGATTTGAAGGGGACATTTATATGAATTTTAAAATACATACCGTCACTCCTCTAAAATTTGTGTCATTTAAAGCAGCTGATATCTTATCGCCTCTGAACATAGCACCGTTAATATGAACGCTTGAAGTGTTTCCTTTTCCCTGTGCCTTCTTTATTATTTTGTCCACTGCTTTTGCAATAACCCAAACGCCATCAAATGCATAGCCATTGAATTTACTGTACTGGCCCTTGTTGGTATCATTGTACTGTTTCATGTAATTGTTTGGGGTCTGGAAATACACTCAGTACACAAACAAAAATAATATACATTTGTTTCCAGTTTGCTTTTAGACTAATAAAGCATTGCGATCATAGACATTCAGGTTATCATTATTAAAGCTAGACAATGTCAAATATAATATGCTCATCACTCAGAACAGTTCCGTCCAATTATATTCTTACATCGTTGTAGAAATACAATTGCATAAACATTGTAAATAAATATATCGTTACATATGACATCGATCCATATAATACGGAAACTTTTCCAAAAGGCCTAAAGCAGCACCACCGAGTTCGTAAAAAGCGCTCACATCTAATTTACAAAAAAATGAAATTTCAACTAAAACACAAACATGAAAGAGGAAAAAAATGTGAATGATAAGAAATAAATATTCTGCAGGATTAAATTAAATTTCGAAATTAATTGCGATTTACAGCCCATTTTGAAATAATGTTTAAACGCTTTTCAATGGTTTTTTTTAACACAGTAAACATGTCTTTTTTTCTGGAAATACTGAGTGACTGACTTATCTGGAATATTTCGAAAATTTATTGACCCAGACATTGATTAAATGGTACAAATGTCTCGAAAAAAATATTTTCGGTTTTGTGGATTCCATTTAAAACTTATATCATGTCATTTGTTTAGAATATAGATACATTTTAAGTATATACCACTAGAGTCTCAACAGTTGCCCACGTAATGAATTACTTCAGAACAACAAAATGTTCCCATGTCAACAAGAAAATATATTTACCAATCCAGATTCTGTCCTTCTCTTACTACTGCTAATAGGGAGTATATCTGTTGATATGTAACCATGGATCGTCTGATTGAGTTCTGCTGGGGTACAGGAGACATTCGGATCGTCAACAGCCCACCAATTCTCCGCATACCCGCCTAGTATTATCCATTGATACTTATGACCAAACATGCGGTTGTTGTGTGCCTGTTATTGACACATATAATTGTTAATCACATACCCGTGCCGCTTTTGCGACTCCGTAAAAATGGAATTGCACGGCCGTGCTTATATTTTGACGTCACGTCATTTACGCTAAACAAACATAGCGTAAAGATTAAACTTAGTTCAATAAAAATGTGGCGTACGTCGGTATAGGAATGTTAAAGATAAGTAAAAATGAGACAGAAGTATAGAAAGAATATGACGATTTGTGTGACGATCGTACGGAACACAGTTCGGGACAATATATACAATTATTTTCTGTTATTACATGTTTTCTGAATATTACAGCTTACACAATTATGCAATTGTTTATATTGCAATACCTCCGAATACAAACTACAAAACATTGCAATCTATAATCATTAATATGCATAATAACATAAGCTTCGTACCAATACTCAATCAAAAATCAATTATGTTGACCAGTTATAAAAAATGTATATTAGCACACTGGATCAAAAGTGAAAATCATTAACTTGTTTTTCCTGTCTTACAATAACAATCCATACATTCATTGACTACTGCGCTCTATTGAAAACCTCTAAAGTATCAACTGTCCTTTATTCGCTATTGTTCAAAACAACCCAATAAAACGATAAAGAGCGATGTATCAATCCTGTACATTCCATTACACAAATCGTTTCCAATGAAAGCAGATCTGTCCCAGGGAGTCCTGACAATATAGTAATTGAATGTCATGTTAAACCAATTGTTCCGTCATGTTTCCCTTAAATAGTTCTATCCCACTGCTTAATGGAGTGATATTGAAACGTATCAATTTACAGGTTGATGTTTTATACCAGTAAATGAGTGATTGGGGGATCATATATTAATGCTGATAGTTTAAACTATACAGATGAATGTAGCTTCAGAATGATTTAAAATATAATCCGAGAAAATAGTACTGAATTTATATCAGTTATTAATTTTTTAGAAAAATAAACCCATGAAAAATAACAACTAATTCTCAGTAAATCTCTGATTTTGATTTGATTTGATTTATTTGGACCGGGCGGTCAAGGATAATCTACGAAAGTGCAAGCACTTATTTCCAGCAGGGTCCTTACCTCAGCAGACTCTGAGACAGCTAGGAGATACAAGGGAATCCGGGAACCAGTCCCTAGCTCTTATTGAATAGATTCCTTGGTTCCTTTACATGCCCAGTGTATAGCACTGATAATGCGAGGATTACCTGGATTTCTTACCAGTACACCTCTTGTTAGGTGGGAAACACTGAAAGTGTTTATGAAAAATAGCATCGAACCCAGAACCTCAGGAGTGACAGTCAGTTGTCTAACCAACTGAGCTATCGCACCACCTTAAATAAAACATTTTATTTTAAGCATGTTGATGAAATATTAATGGAAAGTTTTATTGCATCTTATTTTTACTTGAAAGGCCTTGATAACGAGAGTAAGTAGAATACCATTTAGCTATTTTGACAAGCCAGCCAACTAAAATCTTCAACCAACGACACTGTTAATACACATTATATATGAACCACTACAACGTTACTACTGGCCAAAAAGCAAAGGATGGGTCAGCTATATGGCCAGTGAGAGTGCGTCCGATCCCGGGAAGTAAATCTAGGTTATGATTATTTGTGATACTGATACACAACTTACATCTCTAAGAAATGGGAACTCGTTTCTATGCAAGTATTCCGCTGATAATATATATTTTTTTGTTTTCCTCTTTTTTTATTAGGACGTGTCCGAAACATTGTTTTGCCTTATTAAAAGAAATTAAAAGCAGAAAAAATAGTAGATTTACTGCGAATGCTTCTAAATTCATATTTTACCAACTCATGTTAAACTTCGAATATTGTTTAAGCCGGTGCTAGTGATCATGGACGGTAGCTTACTCATTCAAGTATCGTCGATGAACAGACTCGATCAAAGAGAGTCTGCAACATTTCTAATTTTTCCGTTTAGGCGTTCTTTAGGGATTACATTTTCTCTATTTGATACAAAGGACAAAAGATTTAAAATAAAGAAGAAGAAACAAATTAACAATAACAAAAACAGCAATAACAGCAATAACAACAAAACACATTGAAAAAAAGAAGAAGAAAAACATACAAACAAAAACTACTACACACACACACATCGAAGTAATTCTTATATAAAACTATTTAAATAGATCATTAAATACATCAAAATGATTTATTAATATAACTTATGACACAAACTCAAATCATTGACGCAATTTGTTCTTTGATTGTGTTTTTAATATAAAAATAAACGCACTCAAAGTGTATTGACTGCCAAATCATACATTCTAATGTATTTCTAATAAAACAGATATCACTTTTATTACTTGTGATAGATATTTCCCCTATTACGTATCATATATCTGTAGCAGTTTCAAGAACAACAAATACTATTAAAACTGACGTTTATTTGTTACTATTGGGAACGCGTCAATAAATAATTACGGATAAGAATGTCATATAAACTTGTCGAATGGCACGGAAAAATTCCCAGAACAACAAAAGCGTCAAGAGTCTTTGCAAAAAAGTACAAACAAAGGTGCCTTTCAGATATTGTTATTATTGTGTCCCAATCACGTCCGCTCTTCTATTTTTGATTTCATATTTGGTGTCATATTTGCCCCATTTTGCGATTCCGTCAAAATGATATTGCACGGCTGTGCTTATATTTTGAATTGACGTGATTTGCGTAGAACAAACAGAGCGTAAAGACGCGCTTAATGTTAATGTTACACTATGCGCGCGTCAAATAAAAATTGTCTTTATTTTTGGGTATGTGATTATCTAAATGAAATATTATATTCCTGTAGATTCAACTGAATTTATTGAACTTATTAAATGTAATAATATTAACCTCGCCGGGGGCTTACATAATATAGTTTTATTTGACTCATTCAATAAATTCTGTATTGAACCTTCATTCAATTAATATCTTCAATGTATGATTCACTTTGATATTGAGATTTTTAAACTGGAATATGATTCATGGAAGATAAGAAACGCGTGTTTATCGGCAAATTTAACATACTCTTGGTCATAACTCGACAGTTGGTCTATCTAACGATCTTTCCTTGACATCTATCTAGTTGTTACCGATTTCTCCACAAGTGATCCACTACTAATCCCACATGATTTCTGGACTAGCGGTGAGAGACAATATGGACATAAGAACCAACGTTTAAATCATATACAATCTACAATTAAATAGATTTAATTATATATAAAAAAAAAAGTTAGTTCGATAAAAATGCAATGTACAACATGTACTTCGGGTATAGGAATATTAAAGATAAGTAAAAATAGAACAGAGTAAACAAAATAAATGGGAAGGATTCATGTTATCATGTGATCGTACGGAGCCCAGGAAGTGATAATGCATGTATATTTATTTTCTGTTGTTACATGTACTCGTTATATATGAAATAGTTGTTTATATTGCAATGTATCCTATCATAAACTGATAAAAAATTCAATCTATAAACATTTATATGCATATTAACATAAGTTTCATATCCTTAGTCAATCAAACATCAATCAAGTTGACCAATTTAAAAAAAAAATATTAGCACAATAGATCAAAAGTGAAAATCATTAATTTGTTTTATTATTTCTAGCAATAACATTCAATACATTCATTGAATACTGCGCTCTATTGTAAACCTCCAAAGTATCAACTGTCCTTTATTTGCTTTTGTTTAAAACAACCCAATAAAACGATAAAGAGCGATGTATCAATCCTGTACATTCCATTACACAAATCGTTTCCAATGAAAGCAGATCTGTCCCAGAGAGTCCTGACAATATAGTAATTGAATGTCATGTTAAACCAATTGTTCCGTCATGTTTCCCTTAAATAGTTCTATCCCACTGCTTAATGGAGTGATATTGAAACGTATCAATTTACAGGTTGGTATAAAAATACCAGTAAATGAGTGATTGCGGGATCATTTATTAATGCTGGTAGTTTAAACTATACAGATGAATGTAGCTTCTGAATGATATAGAAAAATATAACCCGAGAAAATAGTACAGAATTTATATCATTTATTCATTTTTTTTAGAAAAAATAAACCCATGAAAAATAACAACTATTTCTCAGTAAATCTCTGATTTTGATTTGATTTGATTTATTTGGACCGGGCGGTCAAGGATAATCTACGAAAGTGCAAGCACTTATTTCCAGCAGGGTCCTTACCTCAGCAGACTCTAGAGACAGCTAGGAGATACAAGGGAATCCGGAAAACCAGTCCCTAGCTCTTATTGAATAGATTCCTTGGTTCTTTTACATGCCCATTGTATAGCACTGATAATGCGAGGATTACCTGGATTTCTTACAAGTACACCTCTAGTTAGGTGGGAAACACTGAAAGTGTTTCTGAAAAATACCAAGGGTGTTACCCAGGATCGAACCGGGAACCTCAGAAGAGCTATCGCACCACCTTAAATAAAACATTTTATTTTAAGCATGTTGATGAAATATTTATGGAAGGTTTTATTGCATCTTATTTTTACTTGAAAGGCCTTGATATCGAGAGTAAGTAGAATACCATTTAGCTATTATGACAAGCCAGCCAACTGAAATCTTCAACCAACGACACTGTTAATACACATTATATATGAACCATTACAACGTTGCTACTGGCCAAAAAGCAAAGGATGGGTCAGCTATATGGCCAGTGAGAGTGCGTCCGATCCCGGGAAGTAAATCAAGGTTATGATTATTTGTGATACTGATACACAACTTACATCTCTAAGAAATGGGGACTGGTTTCTGTGCCAGTATTCCGCTGATAATATTTTGTTTTTCTTTGTTTTCCTCTTTTTATTATAAGGACGTGTCCGAAACATTGATTTGCCTTATTAAAAGAAATTAAAAGCAGAAAAAATAGTAGATATACTGCGAATGTTTCTAAATTCAAATTTACCATAAAATTATCATGTTAAACTTTGAATTTTGTTTATGCCGGTGCTAGTGATCGTGGACGGTAGC